ATTATGTCCGTATGTGTTGGAAGTCGTTCGCATGACTTCCTGTCTCTCATTCATTCTTTGTATATGTGTTCGGCATGCACTGATCGAATCCGGCACGACGCCTTTCTTCATCTTTTTTTTTCGGGGAAATTGAATAGAGACATAATTATGTTCTATTCTATTTTTATAGGCTGATGCGCAAAACTTGCTATCTACTCGATCGAGATTTTCAGGAGAAATTTGCTGCACAATCAATTGCAAAACATGCCATCGATCGTAGTTAAATAAATCCCGGCAGTCTTTGCTAAAGAAGGTGTAACATGTCTTAATCCATAGTACGTGACACGCGATGGGCTGTCTGATGTCTTAAGGAAAAAATAAAGCAATTGTTAGATGAGAAAATAACGGATAAAAAACCACGAAAGGATTGTTTCTCTTGAGATAAAGATAAAATGAACTTTTTAGTTGACAGTCTAAAGATCGATGGAGATGGAAAAAAACGCCCGTGGGTATAATGTGTTTGTATTAGTGCAGTAGAACATAGCCAACTAAATATAGATAGAGTGAGAAGTAAGATCATCATCTTTGAAAATGAATTTCTATATATTTGCTTCTCGTGACAGAAGAGAAAGGATTGGTTTGGGAACTATTCCAGAAAATAGAAACCTTATTGACTGGAGCATCTTGCTCGACTCTGTTATGAACTTTCAGAGGAGAAAAAAAAGGGCGAAGATTTTCTTGCTGAAAACAAACATCAAGCAATTCCTAAACCGAAACTTGAAGATCGATTAAATGATATAATCAATTACATACTTAAGGTTTAAGTTGATTAGATATTTCCTCTTATATTAATCTCTTTGCTAATCAACTGGAAGAATGTATTACAAAAATGCGTCAAGAAACAGAACAGCATTTCACGCTTACTTCGACATATCTCAGTAACAAGTCTATGTTAAAACTTACTTACGATTTAGCCGCGAAGAAAACCACACACACAAAATGATCAAAACAAGATTAGACTTACCATGTTAATGTTGTCGGTAGAAAAGGAAAAAAGAGAACAGCAAGAAAGACGAGCGTAACAGAGAGGAGTTATTCATCACCACTACCACCGTACATAAACAGAACTTCCGACAAGATATGTTTCCTTTTATATAAATAATTTTGACACTCTCAATCTGTTTCGCACATTGTTTCATCATTGACATTCTTTCGATGACGATAGATATCCAACAGTGGATGAGAATGTTCAACATTGAGTAGAAGTCTCTTCGGTAAAGTAGGTCGTAAGCGAAGATCTCGAAATGTAATCAAATGACGTGAACTTTTCATTGCTAATAAACAAGATTTATTCTGTTGTAAATGGTCAATCAATGATTTATGCCTAAGAATCGAATTATCTAAAAGAGACATGACACGAGTAATTAAACCCTGAATAAACAAAACAAACTTAAAGATAGTATCTTAATCTGATTGACCTACGTGTCTGAGTACCATCCGCGTGAATTGCGTTTGTAATGGCAATCTTACGCGATGATAATTGATTGGAACATCGTTTGTTTTGGACTAGTTCTCTCGTTGATTTCGATGACGAAGAACAAAACTCATCTTGACAATCTTGATTATTATTAATTGCTCGAACGGTTTGAACAAACAACTCTGACTGAGATGATTTTTGACAAGATAAACAATCGGATTGTTTGTCGAGCTGGTCGCGAGACTTCAATGTTAACAATGACTGATGTTTACCGTCAAGTAGAAAACAATGTGGAGAAAAAACGAAAGTTGACATTGAAAAGAATGAAAAGACGCGGCAAATTTCTTTCCCAACGACGAAGAATAACACATTAACGAGCGATTGTTTTTTCGCACGATTCGAGCGATCCATTAAGTATTCGTTAATTCTAAAAACAAGAAATTCCACCGTTTAATAATATTTTCTCTCGGAAGACTAAACAACACTTTGTAAGAGCCCGTCGAACGCTTTGTTTTATCGACAATAATCAACCCTATTCAACAAATACGACAACTAATCGACTAGCATGACTGCTAGAAAGATTATAGACACGCAAACATCATCGATTGAAGGAGTGGTCTTGTCATTTTGATTACGAACTTGTTTAGCTTAGAAAAGTTAATTACTTTACTCTCTCAGCTTTACGATATAATGCGTTTACCATCGTTCACGACCTTGATAGATGATTTATCTGTAAATTGATCTTACATATTGTCGCTAATGTCTTTTGATGTAATAATGTACAATTCAATAATCATACGCCGTGTGCGTATAACATCCCAGTTGTTTTCTTCTTGAATATGAAACACACAAAAGATTTGGCAACATGTCTATGAACTTTAATTATAGTTGACAATGACCTATCATATCTCGTCAGTCGATTTTCGTTACAACAGACAGAATTTTCTACTGAACGACACCGGATGATGAAGATTGCTTTCTTTCGCTTATTATTCTGCTTATCGAATTATTAATGTGCTCGATCGTAGTTGCCGACAATCCTTCTCTTCTACGAAAAAAGAAGCCATGCACGTTATTTTTTCATCGAGTATACCAAAAGTATTGCACTAATTTATGAAAGAATTTACTTTAAAACTTCATCTATTTTCATCAGAAATCCCAGAAAGAAGAAAAACATGTGCATATGTACGTATTGCGTCGAAGGGCTGGGAAAGATTGTGAGTTATCACGTTGTGTATACATAGTTACAGGAAAAGCTGGCTGAAGAAACAATAAAAATGAAATAATAGTCATGAAAAATAGATTTATTTATTGCTAAAAGAAATTCTCTGTACATTGTTGAAACAAAACGTCAACATTTGAACATTGTATGATTATATATAAGAAAAAGGAAAGATCATTTCTCACCGTCGGTTGGTAATTTTACTAAATAGTCCGAATTTCGGTCGCATTATGATTCGAACATCCATTGCGATTTGTTGATTTTTTGGTTCGAGTTCGAAATCAAACTGTTGAATAAACATGGCCAGAATCACTTTCGCTTCAATGATCGCGAAATTTTGCCCAATGCAACTTCGTGATCCCGAAGCGAATGGTAAATAACAATACGGATGGGCTAATTTCGGTTTCAGACCTGTTACTGGATCACGCATCCATCGCGTATAATCAAATTCAAGTGGCCGTGTCCAATATTTTTCTTCCCGATGTATTAAATAACTATTGATTAGAATAGTTGCATCTTTGGGAATGTAAAGTTGCTGATTTTTACTGTTAATCGTATGTTCGTGAACGCATTGACGAACAAAGAACGGAATAGGCGGATACAAACGTAAGGTTTCATAGATAATAGATTCACAAACATGTAATTCATTCAATGTTTCGTACGTTGGCGTCACTTTATCTGGTAAAACTCGATCGATTTCGCTTTGACAAGCATGAAGAACACGTGGATTGGTCATCATAATATACATAATCCAAACCATGAGATCTCCGGTCGATTGATGGCCAGCGAGAACGAACGCCATGGCTTCCTGTTTGATTTCTTCATCGGTAAAATGTTCACCTTCGTTATCAACAGCTTGTAGGAGTAAATCGAGGATATCAGCATTTTGACAGAGATTCGTCGTTCGACCTTGTTTACGGTCATTAATAATCTGTTCGACGAAATTCAGCGCCTTTTCACATCCACGGTCAATAATATCTTTTCCCCAAAATGGCAGCCAAGAGAGGAAAGGTATTTGATCGATAAGTAACAACGATCGATTGACAATGGCATCTAGTGCTGCGATGAAAGCGTCAGAGACAATTTCCCTGGCGTTAACGATCATTTCGAAGTTTTCACCGAATGCACTTGAGGCAATGATTGTTAACGAAAGTAAACTGAGTTCCTTTTCGAGATTGATTACTTTACCAGATGATGCAACAAGTCGATCGATGGTTCTTGATGTTCGATCCGTCATAATCGACACCATCGAACGCAGATTTTCGAAGTGAAAACCTGGATTAAGCATTTTCCTTGCTCGACTATGTTCATTACCATTACTAATCAAAAGATTTCTCGGGCCGATCAATGGCTTCAACCGACGACTCAAATCCGCTGGTTTCTGATAATACTGTGCACGCGTTCGTCCAAGTATGTCGCCAATCAAATCAGCATCTTGGATAACAAGGCGAGGGTGTGTGCCGAGACCAAACATAAAGACCAGTCCATGCTTTTTACAAAGTTCCTCGTGAAAGTACATGATGCGATGTTGCTTGTTGTATTTATATAGTTGAGGTACCTGACCAAGTAATGGGATGAAAGGTTCACCGGGAATTCCTTGCGCTCGTAAAATATCATAGATACGTTTTCCTGGTCGAATTAATTTCCAGTAGACGAGATAGAGCGAAGCGAAAATCACAATCAGCGAGGTGAATAGAAATTCAAGAAACATCGGAATGTTTGAAATGAGTACGGTGCTTCTAAAAATGCTTCACAAATGTTTGTCAGGATATATGTGTCTACGTACATACATCTATATATATTTCCCTTCTTTTTTGAGAGAAGGAAAGAAAAAAAAAGTGTTTTTGCTACCTAGCGTAGCCATTTATGACATACGTCCTTGATGCTTGTTGGTACTCATTCCTTTACACGAATTTAGTACGCTTGATCTCGGTACATTTTTAGTGGATAGGTTCTTTTCCAATGTATTTTCCGAGAAAGTTTTCCGGAGCGAAATAATCTTCAACAAAACAATCGAATTTTCGATGAATGTTTGCTCACAGAATCTTCAGGTTTTTAATTACTCCCTGTGAGAACATGTTGATCTCTTCTTACATTTTTAATTGAACAAGTGCTCTTTCTCATGACTTGGCAAGAACTATGTCATTTTGATATTTTTAGATAGAAAAAAATGCTTTTTTTTCAGACGACGCGTCAGTATGTGAAATCATCATGATTAAATATAGAGTAATAAATCTTTTTCTTTTATGGTAAAGCGAAAAAAGATTCTCACGCCAAAAGCAATGTGACGTGTAAAATCTTTTCTGTGAAATGATGGACGCAATAAGATATTCTCAACACGGGTATTTATAATGCTTCAGAGGAAGAAAATAATCGTAAATTTTTATGCGCGATGCGAAAGAAGGATTGGGCAAAGACGCCCGTGCGAAATGATTCGTTTTGCTTGCAACGGTGTCTTTCGGAAGTAGAAGAAAACGACAAAAATAAATTAAATTGACTCGGTGACTTCGCGAGTATAAAAGCCAGTCGGTTTTCTTCATATCTTTTCACATTTACATACGTATCCTTTGACCTTGTGAATATTCGTGTATTCTATGGTTTGATATAAATAGGATAAGGTGAAATTGCACTGGAAAGCAAAGTCGAGAACTTCAGCGATGCATTTAGAAAGAAAAAGGAAGATTCCAGAATGTTTTTCTTGGAAGAGCCCGAGTTCAAAAGTATGTTTTTTAAAGACTTTTCCAGAAGGAAAAGGCTTCTAGAGAATAACGTGAGAAGACCGGATTCAGCAGGAAATAATCAGGTATAAGTGCAATTTTTGAATGAAGAATTCGTCTTTTTCTTCATATTCATTCATCAGGTCTTCAAATATCTTAATGCACGAATAGACATTCTCTTCTCGGAACGTGCCATCACCTTAACACACTCTGCCACAGCAAAGAAAATAATAACTAACACATTCTTCCTTATATTGAAAAATGATGTTTCACTTTGTAAACCCTCCACAGGTTAAAAGACTCGGAACTATTTAAAATGTCAGTGTAATATAGTCAAATGGATCTTCTGATTAGGGAAATCTCATGCAGTGTTATTTGCTAGAAAGTAAACATTAAATAGTTCAAAATTTTATCAACTTATTCAAGTCCGTAAAACAATCAGAAAATTGTAAAAAGATATAAACGCAAGACAAATTATTTTTTCTTCCACATGCGCGTGAACTGTCTTGTTCAAATTCAATTATAGATGAAGATTTCCAAAATATATTTTAGTATAAAATAAAAGTTACTGCTGAAGAAAGACAGGCTTATTTATTTGTACTTATAGCTCATATTTAATCCTTACAGTACCATACTCAAAAGATGTCTCACAAGTTGTTTTGTATCTAATCCTTCTAATTTTGAGATCGCACATCAACTCGTCTAATACCGAGAATTATTAAAGATGTGTTGTGTTAAACGACTCTTATTATCCACAATTATCTCACATTCATTAGCATTCTATCTCACAAATTAGACCTTCTTTCTTGCTGTATGTGTAAATAATACAAATAATTAAGAAATAACTGGATTTTATCAGAGGGTCTATTTTGAACGCGACTGTTACTGTATGAATTAAGCATAAATACATCTGTACGTGTGAGTTATAGTCAAGTAAGACCAAGATAGGTATATTCCTAAGAACTCTTGTTTTGTTGGGAGAACGAATAAATAGACTATAGATATATAAAATCAAAACTACATAATGTCCTACTATATATTAAAGTTGTAGTTTTTATTTTGCTCATTTATTTCCAAAGTTACGACAGGCAGCTGAATTTTTATTTACGTATATTCGAACTCGCATTAGACACCTCACGGTTAGATTACGTATGAATTAAATATAAACTTGTCTGAGAAGGCAAAGAAGCATATCTGAATGATTTTTTTCATAGTTTCTATTAAAAATTCCTTGTAAAGGGAATTTTCAATACGTCGGAGAGTTTAGAAAGATCAAATATGTTTTAGTACTTAATCATTACTAAAAATAAACTCAGAAGGAAAAGAGGTACGAGACGAGTTAAGCATGTTGACATTCATTGGAAGCAGGCAGCTTTTCTCGACTGAGAATATTAATTTACAAAGTCTACGAGAACGGTTGAAGATAGGTCATCGAAACAACGTCATTTCCTCTATGATAATGACTTTCACTTTCTAATAAAATGCATGTCCTTCACGTTCAGAAATAGAACTACTGTTGGCAAAGTTGTAACACATTCGAATTGGTTGAACTACCTCAACTTCATTATTCAAATAAAATGCTCTTTCCAGACTTTATTTTCAAACATACTGATCTTCTGATGTATTGTATATCCCACAGAATTGGTTTGTTGATTATTGATGACAAGTACATCTTCCCCACTGTTCGAGAAGATATTTTCGCTTTCTGAAAGTCAGACAATAAATGGCCTGATGTCGAAGTACACATATACCTACATATCGATTTCAACGTGTAATCTTCACTTTACACTTAATTAGGTATCATTACAATACCTAAATACATTTTTTATTCTCCCTTCTCAGCAAATAATAGTTTTATTAAGTCCTATATTCTCCATAAACTCAATCAACAACAAGTCTGTCTGTGTTTGTTGGAAAGTACCCACACCCTCCGTATGAGCGTTCGAAGGGTGCGAAATTTATATCAACGTAGGTGGAGAATGGTATTCATTTTCTATTGATTGACTTTTAGCAAAACAAAAAACTATCATTGATCTGAATGTAGAAGAATAAGCAATCTATCCGATTTATTTCTTAACTAAATGATCATGCTCTGTGTTCAATAAATTCGACAATTGTTGTTGATCAAGGATTTGATTCTGAATGGTGGCATTTGAGATCGTTCTTTTCCTCGGCAGACAATCATTTCGATTGTCTCTCAGCACATGTCGTCGTCGAATGACACGTTTCCGTACTAATCTTGCTAATTCGAAACTCGTTTCTCGGAATCGTTCGCCAAATAAGTAATAGAAGAAGAGATTCGCAGAAGCATTGATAACTTGCAGAAAATTCACTGTCGTGTTGAACAAATGCCGAAAGCGGCAATTACTCAAATAATAACGCTTCGTCAATGGCTGAATCTTCTCATGGCTGGTGCTGTACGATGTTAACGAGAGTTTCGTTTCGAAAATATGATTGATCAACATCGGAAAACGGCAAATGAAGAATAATAGAACAACACCGATCAACATCAGTGTGATATCACGTTCATGCTGCTCATCGTTTTGCGTAGACGATGGCGATGTTAAGTGCAAAGTTTGCCGACGGTTTAGATAGAATTTGTGGAGTAGCTTGATTGTGAAAAGATTGATAATGATAAGTAGAAGAAACGGAAGTGCATAAACTACAGGAATGTAAAGCCAAATGTGAATTATTCGACGGAATAACTCGTTTTCACCGATTTGTGTTACTAAAAAAACACGAAGAAAACGTCGAAGAATGATAACAAGGCAATTTTTGTCTTACACCGTAGATGAACATGATTATCTTCAGTGAATTCTACGCGATATTTAAACCAGTGTGGTAAAATAAACAGAATTGAAAAAATGGTTATACAGAAAATCGTACGAAGAGAGTTTCGAACTGTACAGATCGTTTCCGCAGATAAACCATACGACAAATAAAGGAAACGATCGAACGAAACAGCAACTGTATAATAAATTGAACATAATTGTAATGTATTCATCAATGGAATCACATATGGAGTAAAGCTACGGAAAACATCGTGCAAAGAAGCGAAAGAAATCAGTTGCTTACCGTTGGACCAAATCATCATAGACGTGTTGATCGTCGTCGTGCGAATTCACCAAAAATTTCGGTACAATTAGCGTAAATCGAATGGAATTTATAGTTAAATACAAAATTAGCCAGATGAGATTAACAATTGACAGTGCAAGAAGATAAATATTCGTCGAAAGGTAACGCATACGATGATTGGCTAAGATTAAGATCGAAAGGCCATTACTGATAATGCCGAGAACGCCAACAACGCACGAAATCCATCCTCCGAGAATATATTGCACGAGTAGAACGTGTCGTTCATCATTTTCACTACACGTGTAATTATTTTGACCACTGTTATTTGCCATTACGTTTGAATAGTGTGAAGAAGTTGAAGGGGAAGAATAGAGAACTGAAAACTAGAGTTTGATTTGTTATTCTAAACGGAAAAGAAAAGAAAATAGAACTTGAAAATCAAATATTAACTCATATTTCTTCCGCTTGCGTTGTTTTCCAGTCTTCGAAACTATTTCTGCATAACTAATGTGATGTTCGCGTAGGCGGTGGGGAAAATGAGGCACAAGACAAAAAGTCGATCTTCGCTCACGCGCACTCTCTTCTTCAAAACAAAAGACAAGTTGGTAATCGAATCGATTTGATGTCTTTATGTTGTTTTGCTCTTCTGTTACATGCCGAAACTATTAGGGAATCAGAAGAAAAAAGAGAAAGACTGACAGTCTGAAAGAGAATAGATTCCTATTCATAATAATCGATCGCGTTCAGTAGGTCAACCTATAAACAATGTGATAAGCTCGCTAATAATCGAAAGCGAATGCGTAGTTTCTATTAGAAGAAGATTCCATCGAATTTCCTGAGTAAGATAACAGCTGGAACGATTCTAAAAGAGATAAGTAGCTCTACGGAATCAACTGTGAGTGACATTAGTATATTGCGAAGATCATACACTTTCCTTTCTCTTTTTTTTCATGGTCTCTCTGCTCTTTGTGTTTTCCTATCTATCATCAGATGTTCTGTATAGTTCCGCGTGTATTCTACGAGTGACATTTGCCGAGTAGGATCGATTTATCTCTCGTTTATAACCAACGTCGATATTGTTGATTTCGCCAAGATAAGATTTCTTCGAAATCATCGCACGTCTGTCGAGTTGAGTGAAGAAATGTGGACAAGGAATAGGGAAATAGATTGTCAGGGATGTGTAATTATAAAATAAAAAAAAATTCTAGGTTTTTCTCGGAAATATTTATTGTGAGAAGAGAGACGAATAAGAGAAAAAAGTATTTCTCAACGCGTTGTTTCCATCTGCTCTTGTTTCCTCTTTCTTTCTGAATGATTTATTCGAGGAGAAAAAAAGAGGATTAGCTAAAAAGAATAAACCATTCTCGTCGGTTAAGGGAACATTTTTTTTCTTTTTCTATTACTCAAACTCTTTTGACAAAATAATTCGCCTCACATGAGTATGAATAAACAATGACTTGATAGTTTCTTTCCAATGGAGAAGTAACTCGAAATCAAACTATTCGGGCGGAAAAATAATATCAAATCTGCCTAACAACAAAATACTATTTCAGTTTCTTTGCCTTGATCTGCATGTCTTATGAAAATCTTCGTTGATTCCAACGTACTCGTTTCGGTTTTTTCAAACTCTTGAATATGGAAGAAGAACATCGATCGATAAATAATAACAATGACATCACGTCCGATGCTCGTCGATTAACAATTCGACGAAACCTTTTGAGACAAACAACAACATCACGGTCGTCACCCTATGATTCAACTCTATCGAATCTCGAACGACAACGACGGCGACAAATTTTGCCATCGATCAATAATTTGATCACAAATTTAGAAAATCCAATCGAACAGGAAAATATCGAATTAAGTCCTGAAAATGACGAATACGAAGTCATTCTTGAGTTAACAGATGCACTACCGATCGAAGAAACTCCTACAGGTGGAGAGATTCTTCTCTTGTCCACACTCGTTTTTCATTTGTTTTGTTTACTGTTTAAAGAAAATGATATTTCCCATCACGAGCAAGACGAATCGTATCAATCTCTATCAACATTAGATTCCGAGCTAATTGACGATGACGATGATGTTGTTGACAATCGTTCTCGCTTTTATTACACATCAACTAACATACCCATTTATGATTATTCATCATCAACTGATCCATTACTGAATCAAAATCATCCACTTGATTTTTCTACGCACGAATATCATCAAATCTATTCACCAACGATAGATAACGATGAAGATTTAAGTATCGAGATTATTTTAGAAACTTCACAGAATCATTCGTTATCGCCGATACCTCGACGACGCCGTTCGATTATTCCATCGAACGTTCGAGCAAATCGAGGTTTACGTTCATTGGACATTCTCAGCATTCCACAGAAACTGTACAGTTCACTCAAAGATCAATTCGATCAGGAGAATAGCTACTCATCTTTCATAATCAACACACAATGTTACATTTGTCTGGAAGATTTTCAGTCAATTGACTCAATTAAAATTCTCAATTGTCAACACGTTTTTCATAAGTAATGTCAATATTTTTCTTATTATAAACATGTAAATATCGTTCCCCCGTAGCGGTTGTATCAACGAATGGTTACGACATCATTCTAATTGTGCTTATTGTCGTACACCAGTTCTTATTGATGTGTTACGATCAAGAACGGAACGTCGTCAACGAGCACGTGCTCGTCGTCCGACAACCCGTTCATCTCCAAGTAATTCAATTCAACGAACTTCATCGGAATCTCCGATCTTAGAACAAGAATAATCTTTCGAAAAGATTTTATCTTTTCTACTTTGAATAGTTCCTATTTCGAAGTCTCAAAATACATTTTCTAATCTTTCAAAATAAAAACACGATGACAATTGGATGAAAACTTTCTCGTCTCACATCCGCAAGTATTTCAGCAATAAATGTAATGGAATATATTTCTCTATAACATCTTTTTTTATGATTAATAAACAAATGCAATATTAATCTTCTCTATGTAATCCGATTTGAGAATTGTAATCCACCAGGCGACACGGTCCTGGAGGTACAAATATTTGATTCTAGCTTACATCCGATTGTATTTGAGGATTAAATTAAGCTTGATCAAAAAAAGAAAAAATATATATATATCGATTAATATTGATCGCACAGTGAGCTAAAAAATATGCGCTGAATGTCAACTAATTGGACAGAAGTGAAATCGAATATGCCGTTAATTGGCTGTTTTTACTTCTTCTTCCTGGGGCCATTGAGCTAAACATACTGAATCATTGGAATTATATAATCCATGGTGTCGAATAATATCTATTGCACCATCAGGTACAATATACTTGACACTACAACCTTTCTTCAATTTATTTCGTATATTTGTCGATGAAATGTCATTGACAACCCAATCTTGGATGACTTCCGTATGTTTTTTCCAAAGATCAGGCATGCCTTCTTTCACATCTGGTACCGTCGCACCACCTTGACCAGATTCGGGTGCTGTCAAACGAGTGATACAAGCCACACCGTATTTTGTCATGATATCATCGATATCTTGTGGTAACCAAGCCTTTGCATTTAACATCGTACGTACGACATCAGCGCCTCAAATGAAAACGAGTATGAAAAAGGCAAATTTGCGAAATTATAATGATTATTTACCTGACAGATAACGAATACCGGTCTTTTCACCGTATTTTTGTTTGATTATTTCGTGATGATAATCGAGAACGAGTTTAGTTCGTGTCCATGATGTTTGCTCGGCTTCCCACGTGTCAACTCGAAGCCATTTGTCGTTTTTGATCGAGGCTTTCAGCATTTCAATACGGTGATCTACTTTGACCAAACCCGCTTTACCATACGAATCACTGACAGGAGAAATAATTCCTAAAACACCAACCACATCTTTATTGATCAACGCACGGTATTTTCCACAAACCTTCGAGAACTTGAATAGAGCGAAGATGGTAATAGTCACGCGCTAATTCAAGCATTCGCAAATGAGCGATGGTCACCGGGTTGAAAGAACCGGTCAGTAGTAACACAATACGTTGGATTGGTGGTGAAACTAAACTAATGATTTCTTGTCAAAAAAGAATCAATATTGATAAAGGGAAAAGGGCTTGATCTGTTCTACTCTTTTTTCTCTTTCGCTTGGTCAAACGTAACTATAACGACTACTGTTACATGTATATGACCGATCTGGCGTCTACTATTCTTTTCATATGTGACCTAACGCGTTCAGTTGACAAAAAATTCGAAGCGAAACAATTCATTCGAACATTTTTCTACTTGCAGCAAGTTTGTTAAGTATAAGAAATCAATTATGCTGCGATTGGTTCTATTCGGATCGTTGTTCATCGTATTTTCTCATGAACAAGCGCTAAATTCAGGTAGGCGAATCTTACATTTATCACGTGGAACTTGATATTCTTGTTGATCGAATGGTTCTGGAGCGTCTTGTCGAGCTTGAACAGCTTTTTCAGCATCGTTTAAAGTTTCTCCTGATTTTGCTGATGTCATCTGGAAGTAGAAGGGAAGAAAAATAAATTATCTACGTTTCGATAACAACTGTTTTATACTGCAGAGAAAGAAAAAAAGAGAAAAAAAAACATTTCAACACTTTTCCGCGAAGATTGTTGTGAAAGAACATTTTACAAAACCTACGCTTACCAAGTTGGAAATTTCTGATGAATTATTTTTATTAATATTTAGCTCGAGATTTCTATGGGCAATCATCAAATCGTATACGAATATCGGAGGCTAATAAAACGCTTCTTAACTTACGAGAGTATGCAAAACAGCAATACAAAGCATCGCGAGCACGTGATTCATCGCCAACATTTATTCAATCGCGTCGTTTTCATTCCGATCAAGTAGTTCGTGATTATCGTGAACATGGTCGATTATTTCCACCCCAAACGGAATTCTCCCCATCGATTTCGTATCTCTACACTGGATTAGGTTCGAGTGCATCTGTTGCAGCGAGTCAAGAAGGATGTCGTTTAACCAACAACTACTGTTCGAAAGACTATCAATGTTGTTCAGGCAAATGCCGTTGTGTGCGATGGTCAGTTATGGGAAAGATGTCATGCTATAAAAAGTGTTTCTAAAATAAATTCAAACTGATTGAGAAGAAATTTTGCTCTTATTCGATCGATTATCAAAATGAAGAACCGCAGAAATAAAATGTGTCCTTTTCTATACAAGAAATGAAAAAAAGAGAGAGGAAAGTTTCATGAGTTCATTAACACATTGATCATCGATTAGTTCTTCATGCCTGGCGCAGGAAGTTTCGGCAAACCGAATTCATCAACCATCACGCCATCCTAAATTGAAAAAACGAGAGTCAAACTTCCAGGTAAAAGCAGTCTTGCTACTTTAGTTGTCGCCGCTGTTGCGCGACCGCCATCAAGTGGTTGAACAGGAACACTTGGTGCATGTAAATCATCGAACATAGCATTGGATTCCATACCAAACTCTTGTTCAGCAAGACCAGCCAATTCTATCGATAAAGACGAATCCAGTATAATCGGAAAATGAATGTCTTGTCATCGAATCTTACCGCTTTCAAGATCGGCGTCAGTCATGTATGTATCTTGGCCAATAGGTCGACTGAACATATCATTCATTTCATCTTGATCAAGAAGTTGGTCGTCCAAATCATCCATAAGTGCCTGAAATGTCTTTTAGAAATAGACCAACTCAATTGAAGACGTCCTACTTCAACTTTTTCAGGTTTTAAATCTTTATAACCCTTTACTAATTGTTTCTTTGCATCTTTCAATCCAGTAAACTAAAACCAAAGGCATTCATTGTCGAGAAAAAAAGAGTGTATCCACATACGATTTGTTTCTGTGTTTCGATGTTGCTCACAGCAAAAGCCGTTGCACCGATATTACTCGCTTGACCTTCCAGTGTCATTCGTTGTCGTTCATACCTACATCAGATCAATAATTAAAAAGAAATATGCTTTGTCCATATGAAAAATCAAGTTTTGTTTACATTTTCTTTTTACTTAATAAAGCCATCGCTCTTGCTTTTTGACCGGCCTAAATTTACACAAAATCGTCGTTTTTCTTTCCTACGAAAACCCTCGCAACACCGATTTACTTTCTTCGCTGGAGGCAATCTGCTATACGCTTGAAGTTCTAAATATTTCAAACAAAGGTCATTCAATAAAATGATTATGAAATTTCATCAACCTTGGTCCACAGATGCAATTTGTTTGTTCAATGTTTCGACACGTGAGTCAATAGTCGCCGCGGTGTCATTCAGTGTAGGCTTTGGTACAGTGCTACCTTTTGCTTGACCGAAAAGTCGATTCATTTTGAATAATAAACAGAAGAAAAGTTCGCGATAAATTCAAAAAATCTACACAAAAGTACACAGCGAATAAAGTTGTTCTATTTAACAAATCAAAATGATTCATCTGTCAGAAAACATTTGAGTAATGCATGACGATCATGCTGTAAACAGAAAGATATTCAACCAAGGAAGAAAAAGTATGATTGAGAGTTGACTAGCGTTATCATGACTCATGAATGGTTTTATCTTTATATCAATAAGAAAATATGGATGATAGATGTCACTAGGTCATTTGAGCTTTTATTTTATCAAGCAGGTGTCTTCGTGATTCCATAAGAATTGCTTGAAACGAAAATCTCAAGAGATTATCTAGCAATGTTATCGACGAATGTGTCAAAGGTCGCAGAGACCAAGAGTACGTCTTGCTTTGATGGTATTTAAAAGTATTTTAACATCACTTCACGAACAAGATGAGGTTGTGATGAATTAGTATACTTCGTTTCCGGTTTTTATTCTTCAGTTGCGCATTGGTGTTGAATTTTGCAAGTCATACCTCATTCGTAATTCATCGTCACATAGATGAGACTGCACACGCTTTTTAGCAGATGTTCGTGTCTAGAATTGATGATTTCTCATCAACGTCTAAGATCGGCATTTGAAGAGAGAAAGAGCAAGAGACTTTTGCGTCGTTAAGAAAGCGAAACTGATCCTAATTTGATGCTGATAATAGAGAAAAAGAGAGAAAACTCATCTCCCTGTTGACATGATTTATGTTCAATGGTTTTATCTTTAGAACATCCATTAAGCACTAAATGTAGTGTTCATTCGTTTGCCTTATTACGATTTTATTTGCTGTTTTTACAATCGATCAGATTAATAGTAGATGCGTCGCTCTTTTCCTCTCCAACAATCTTCAATCGTAGATTCCGATTTCTTATGTTAATTTCGATTAGTCGACGTACATCTCAACATTGGCAGTGTCTGTTTAGTTTCAAGTCAATTCAATGTCAACGTACCGAAATATTGGTTCGACAGCATTCTCTGTTTTGCTAAATGTGAGCGTCAAATGTATTGCTGAATCGTTTGTGTGTTTATACACAATTCTTCTCAATGTAATCATCATTGGAAGTTTAGTTTATATCAAACGTCATCGGAATACTCAGAATCTTTTGTTAATCAATGTTTCCATCGCTTGTATCGTATTTTCGCTGTCGTGTCTATTGTCGATATGTTTAACAATATGGATACTTTATCATCAATCGGTACCTACATTCGCTTGTCAATTCATCGCCTTTATTGTCATATCCAGTTGTCATTGTTTAATGTTTTCATACACACTAGTCACATTTGTACGGTTTCTAACCATTATTTATCCATTTAATCGGAAGATAACCTCGGTTAGATCGATTCAGGTTTATCTCGTCACGAAATGGATATTGGCATTTCTTTTACCAAGCATAAGTTTCCTTTTACCAAATCACGAAATCATATTTCAACCAAAGGCAAAAATATGCACAGTTAATCAACAATCTCCGGTTTTAATCCTATTATTTTCCACAGGATATATTATTCCACTTATCTCAATTTCGTTAATGAATTTGATCACTTACCTAAACGTCACACGTTCACGGCAGACTCTCGGCATGTCTCAATCGAAACTTTTTCGTTTAAATAAACGTAAACGTCGAAATCTACGTTTACTACGTCAATTTTCGATGTTTACTGTTTTCTTCTTTTTCGGATGGGCTCCATTCATCATCGTCGAAGTTGTTGACAAAGAAGAAAAACTTGCCGATGCCTATTATTTGTTTACATTACTATTACCCTCTATATGTGTGTTAATTGATAGTCATGTGCTGCTCTATTGGAACAAAAGTATTTCTCATCAGATCTGTTTATGGTGGCGTGTTTTGATTGGACAAAATCAATTCATTTCACATGAACCTGTCGAACAGACGAGGTCTCCTGTCGATGTTTCATGCACGTATATGCATTCCGATGTCTAAACACGCATCGAAGAGTTCTTTCTAGACTAATCGTCACGTGTAATGGCATTATATGTTTTGTTAAGCAGAAACTTGCTTTGATGTTTAACCGATTCTTTCTCGCTTATTCTTGGTCGGCTTTTTGTCTAAAATTATTGAATTTCTATGCATGTTGTTCTGTTGTTCGTAGTTGATGTCATCAAATTTTGTTTTACTTTTTTTCTTCAAGTTACGAAAACGGCTACATTTTGTTCGTTTATTTTCAATTGAAATAAAAAAAAATGGAGAATGATCCCGATGCTTCACGAACAATTCGATTTTGTGATGCGATCGACGTCCGAGAAATTCCGAACAAAGACGCGGACGTACAGTTGATGTCGAATGGAAGTCGAAAGAGTCCGTCACAACAAGCAAACGTAACTTGTTGTGTTAGTGATTGTGAGAATTACACGTAATAGAGAAGTTTTTCTTCTTCCTTTCAGCCCAAGATATTCAAAACAAAACAGAATATTATCATCGGAATAGTTCTGATTTGCGTGATTGCTGGAACTGTCGGTCGTATTGTACTCAGCGAGGAAGGTATGAAACATTCTTCTGTAGAGAATATTGGGAAGTACGACTGTTAGTTTAGATGAGTATTTAGTTACGTTTAATGAAACGTGTGAACATGGTTCGAGTCAATGCGATCGAAATAAAGATCTTTATTGTATTAATAAGAAGTGTCATTGTGATTATTCGAAAAAATATTGGGATATGAAGACTCAGATATGTGGTTAGTTGAGACTGATTTGTGTTATCGATTGAATTCGTTTGAAAAAATATCTAGTTTCACGTCAGAATTATTCGCAAATATGTCATTACAATGATTCGTGTATGGCAACATTGATTTGTTCAAGCCATTCTCATCTATGTATTTGTGATCAAAGACAATATTATAATTCAATTCTCTCCCAATGTGGTAAGTGTATTAGATTGATGTTTTCTTCATTTCTGTCTGTTTTCTACTAGTTAATCGAGCATCTCTCGATGAATCATGTCTACCATCGATGAATTCAACATGTCTTCTATCACTTTCTTGTGACTCGGGCAAATGCGTTTGTCCAAATGGAAAAAGATGGCTGCCGTCGAAGAAGATTTGTGTAACTAGTGGATAGATAATCTTTGAGTACTTTTTTTGTATTTGTGTGTCATATCTAACATATGATTAGATTGTCTTCCTATCATTATTCGCTTATCTCCAAATTGATGTTTCTGCTAAATTGATTTCTGCATCTTTGTACTTTGTTTAATGAGCGATATTTTTGTATCTATAAAGCAGATATCATTGATGATTAATATCCTACAGAAGAACAAGAAGAAGAAGAAAAAAGAAAGAATCGAGCATTGACGACATATTCATAAATATCTTTTTATCGACCATACGAAGATCGTTTTTGATCGAGAAAATGCTTCGGAGAGTTATACTCGGTCAAATCATACTTATCGTTCTGAGTATTTGTTCATGTCATGGGTCGATTAGCGGTACACGTGATCAGGTAGAACTTGACAATGTTCAAATATCGATTTGTGAGGTGCTTCAATTTGAATAGATCGTCCTGGCAAATTTCAAAGCGCAATTATCAAAAGCTCGGACATTGAAGCAGGCGCTTGCTATTTATGCGGATTCGAGTATGAGCAATAAACATCAAGTAGCTATGCAAAGTAGAGAAGAGGGAACTGTTTTACTTGATTATTGAATTGTCGTTTTCTTACAGCGGATATTCGTAAACTTGAGAAGAATATCGATACACAACTGGTTGGGTTCGAACTGGCGAAAGGTAAAGATTGAGAAGGAACATTTTTTTCGTGAAGATTTTCAGTTTTTAGACGATAAAATTGTGCCATATGTGAACGGTGGTTGTTTACCACGTATTACATGTGTTCCTGTTTATTCTCAAGAGGCAATATCAGGTGGAATTGTTTTTCCGAACTGCGTGGAAGTACATCGATGTTCTGGATGTTGTCAAGAAGCACAATTTTCATGTGAACCAACGAAAATTGAATATGTTTCATTCAGTCCGGTAAGCAAACCGTCTTTCTGATTGATTCCGAACGAAATTCGATTGTTTAGATAATTAAATTCGAACATGGCGAAGGTTCCGGTCCACCTATCGCTGCAATGAAACCATTCAAAACCGAAAATCACACCGAATGCACATGCAAATGTAAACTCGATGAGAATGCTTGTCCAAGTAGTGCTCAAGTCTGTTTCTCTCCTGACTCTTTCATTGAAATTCAATGGAAACGTTTAGGTTTTGGACCATGAACTATGTCGCTGTCGAGAACAAGCGTGTTTTCCTCAATGTCAAGCTATGCAACGTTGTCAATTGCTTAGTACACAAGAAAAACCATCCTGCGTTTGCAAACGACCTATCCCAGGTCAAAATGGCGCATATTCATGTTCTTCGGGTTATCAACCTGATGCTCGTTGCAAGTCAGTATATTACAAATCGATTCATCATATTTCCTCGATATTTCATCAATTTCGCTTTTCTTTCTTCTAGAAAATGTGTGAAATATCCATGAAGATAACCACCAAATGAAAACTATCTTGAATCTTTTGACAGTGTATTTGTTAGATATGACATAATGTATAATAAATAAATATGCGAAATATCATGAGTCAAGAAATGACAGATGTCTTATCTATCATTAGGAGACAGACCGATTTAGATATAAATACATGGTGGGTGCACAGTATTTTCCCATAGAAAAAGATTCTGACGAAAAGAGTCAGTAGATTCATTGGAGAAAACAAACAGCATGAAGGCAGTGTTCTTCTCGACGATAGTATTTCTGGTACTTTTGATTAATCATATTAACTGTAATGAAGTGAGAAGATTGCCATGAAAAAGTTCGGACTTTGTTTTATCACAATTCTCTTTAGGACGAACATCACAAAGCTTTAATTCGTGCTCAATTATCACGAGCAAAGTCGATTCAAGAAGCGTTGATTATTCTCAAAACTTCAAGCAAAGCAGGTCGAATGTGTAAGAATACAAGTATTTTTGTTGATTAATCCTGATCGTTTCTGGTTTTTTTTTAGCGATGATGGCCCCGGAAGCATTGAAAAAGGAACAACAGGAGATATTCACTACTGCACGACGTCTGAATAAAAGTATGTCGATTGATCGAATTGTATTTATCTAATAGTAATTCGGTTTTACAGATGGTCGATCACTGACCGAACCACGAAATGGTGGTTGTGAACCTCGTGTTATCTGCGAACCGGTGCCTGTTGATCGCTCATCGGGAAATAATATGATATCATATCCACAATGTCTTGAAGTTCATCGTTGTGGTGGTTGCTGTCAAGAAGCACAATTTCCTTGTGTAGCTGTCGAAGAAAAGCCAGTTACATTTAGTCCAGTAGGTCAAATTGCATATCGCAACATGTTCTATTTTCTATTCATGTAGTTACTATTGATTTCTTTGGATGATACTGATAAATACGAAATCAATCGTCCATGGACATTAATGAATCATACGAAATGTGAATGTAAATGTGGTAAGACCGAAAATCAATGTCAACATGAAGGCAAAGTAAGGTTCAATTCTATTCTCAATTCATTTGCAAAGTATCTGTAGGTTTTAGATGCGACATTATGTCAATGTATCAAGCCGCGTTGTACACCGGAGTGTTTGATCTCATCAACATGTTCAATGATTCCTGGTAGTAATGAACCAAAATGTACATGTCGCCGACGTTTACCGGGACAAACAAGTAACTATTGTTCAAATGCAAATCAACGACCGAATGCGATGTGCACGTAAGAAGAAAAACTTCTCTTATCAAAAAGCGAACATTCTTATTTTTCTTTTAGACGATGTGAAACAGTTTCCGGATGAATGATGGAATTTAATGAACGATATCAAAGAGACATTTATCTTTTTGTTTTAATGAATAAATGGTTTATCACTTTATGAGAAGACGAAATATTTTAGCTGTAAAATTTCATGTTTAATTCGAGTAGATATATGCCTGAAAAATGTGTAATTAACAGTCAAATGAAGGAAACAAATAAGAGACAATAAATAATATGTGTGAAAGCACCGGACTGCCAAGGAAAAAGAAGTAGAGTACATTGTACATATTGATGAGCTTGATTAACATATACGAATTGATTAAATATCTTCATTTGGAGCTATTGCTGATGATGTTCGTTGACTGTCGGTTTCAACAGGCATAACTGGTGTTTCAGGTCGTGAACGTAATCGAACGCGCCGTCTATATCGTTTACCACCACCGCTTATTGTACTAAGCCAACGATGACTTGTATGTGAAACTTTTCTTCTTCGCCGTTTCGTATTACTCGATATAGAAGTGTGCGAATCTTCAGTGTTTGTTGTTTCTTAATGGACGAAATACAAGAGATGAAGATAGATATTTTGAAAATGATCGTATTTACCAATTTCATCATTATCGTTCGCTTCATCGTCGTCATCATCATCGTCATCGTCATCTTCTTCTTTAGTTGCGTCAGGTACACGTGTTATCAATTCTGCTAGATCGATGAATTTGGTTGCAGTCGATTCTTGCTTACGCTAAAACAACAAAATTCGATATTAAATTCGAGAAATATTACCAATGAATCATTACGAGTCGCGATTGTTTTTCTCGAGATGATTTGAGCTTTTGTTTGAGAAAAACTGCATCATACGATTCCAATTTTGACCAACCGTGAAACACAGCTTTACCATGATGATAGCCAACATCCTGTAGAGAGAAAGACTTCTGTATGAATGCAAAAATTTAATCGAAGAAGAACGAACTCGAATTTCATCGAATAGACCAAATTGTAAAGTTCGATAACGATCAATTGGTGGACGTAAATATTCACAGAAGTTAGAATTTTTTACTATTTCTAATTGTCTTTGACATGAAACATAAGCTAAACGTGTCTGAATTTCACTCAACTCAGGCACCTTAACCGGTGTTGACCAAATGTTCCAACGTTTATACAAAAGCCACCAGCCTAAAGTTAATCGTCACTTTATAAAAATTGACGAATCTCTTTTTCATCTTACCAGATAACTGATCACCGAAATTATAGAAATTCTGCTCATCTTGTGCACCTACATCGACGGCAAGAACCGTATGTGCCCCAAGTTTATACATAACATCAGCTAAAAGAATTGAAACGATAGAATTCAATAGTCAGATGTAGATTCCTGGACAGTTTTGCTTTTCTTCTGGAGTAAATTTTGATTATCGATGAAAATGAGCATATCTTACCCGGTAAATTATTTACATATCCACCATCAAGTAGTAAATGCCCGTCATTTGGATCACATAATCTAACAGATCGAAAAAATCAGTCGAGCAAAAGAAGAACGAAATGAACTTACGGAGGAAAATAACCTGAAAGACTCATCGATGCTCTCACATATCGCCATAATGATCCTAGATTCAGACAATTAACAGCATCTCAATAAATTAAAGCACAACATCGAAAATCATCGCTCGAAAAAAGACGTATGTTGTGTGTATTAGAAAACTGTCCAGGAATCTGTGAGATAAAAGATAAATGAATAGAAATTATCGATCAATTCTTTCTATTCATCTAAATATCTTACCAGGAAGATTGTTCATATAGCATCCATCTGAACGAAAAACAAAAATTCATTTAGTTTGTTTTTTTCTTTCATGGTTCATATTCTTCCAAAGTGGACATTTTGATATAGAATATCTCACCTAGAAGAAGATGGCCATCGGATGGGTCACACAAAGGTGGAAGATAAAATGCATACGTCATTGATGCACGTACGTAACGCCAAACACTTCCTGTAGAGAAAATAGGGGAAGACCCTTATTCAAGTCGATTTCTGACAACAACATACGTCTTTTTTCGTTGTTTTTCTTTCAAAAGAGAGGAAGAGGAAAAAGAAAGATGTCGAATTTTACCTGTCGTATGTACACGCATTTTTGATGCGGATATATCTGTTGTGATGCAAAAATATGGAATCCATAAATCTTCAATTTGTACATCGAGAAGAGCTTCCTCGATTGTTTCATTGAATCCAGCACCTTAAAATCCATCCATTCATTACTGATCTTCCATAAGCATCAGCGTATTGTTCACTTACCTGTAAACATACTTGTTATTGGATATGTTAAATCAATTAATTTTCTCCAAAAAGATGTCATTTTCTGCAATCAACAAAGATTAATGTATCAAAAAAACACTCTGGTCAAATCCTTACCTTGCACCACTCCCTTGCTCGTTCAATATACCCTTTGATATTCAATTCATCGGCCCACAATGCACCCATAAATGCTCCGATGCTTGTTCCACCAATGAGATCAATTGGTATACCAGCTTCATGCATAGCTTGTATAATACCGACATGAGCACAGCCACGAGCTCCACCACCGCCCAAAACAAGACCAATAGCTGTTCCAGTTAGAAAGCGTGCCATACGAGCAAAATCGGTTGTTGGGTCGGGATCTGGCTCGAGTAAATCGGTATAATCATTCTAAATACAAAGAATAACCATGATTTCTTTTTTGTTCGAAAAGCCATCAAAACAAAGATGATGGTCTTACCCAACATTCCAGATTCACGTTTTGAAAAACACGCTCCGGACATCGAACATGATGATGAAATGTACACCAATTCCGTTCTTTTAACCATTGTGCAGTACCCTTAGGTTTTAAACTACCCATACGATGCAAAAGAATTAATTCTTTTTGAGCTCGAACTGCTATTCGTTCAATTTCATTTTCAACCTTGATAAAAACAGAACAACGACATATAAAAAAAGACTTCACCAAAAGGAAAACACAGACTGATCCTTTGACTGGTTCTTTCCATCCAATACCAACGATGAGAATACAGTCAGCTTGCCGAAGTGATCGTTTGGTCCACGGCGTTAATTGTTTATCACATTGATACACAACAATTTTATGTAATTCTTCTTGTTGACCAAGCCATGCGCTCAACCGATAATCGTTGATACTTTCGAATGCACTATCACCAAATCGATCGATGATTAATTGTTGTGTCAAATGAAGTGTCGGTCCTGATAATCACTTTTTATATAAGAAAAAAGAAGACGGAAACATGAGTTATCGTCTTACCGATTGCCAGTAGACTATGAACAAGTTCACATGTGAATGAATCAAGTGGAACGTCATACGATGCAGCAACAATGGCAACAGTTGATAAGTTTTTGTTCAGTGCAGTCGTTTGATCTTGAAACTCCTCTAGAAAAACCGTTTCGTTACATAATAGGATCGATTAGTTCATATTAGAGACAAATTTCTTTACCATCAGCTAATGGCATTGTTAAACCAACACTATTGGTCAAAGTATTTTGCATGGTTCCATAGATTTTTTGTGACAATACGTGAATCAAATGTGAAACGACTCGTGGATGACGCCATTTGATATAATTTAGAAGCCCCGATGGAATTACCGCTAATTCCGTATCACTGAAAGCAAACACAAGTCGTTCACAAGGAATCAATTCACCTAAACGAACTTACCGAACAGCAATTGTTGTTGATTGTCGAGGCATTTCCATTAAAACTTCGATGAGACCAACCATTTCACCGCGACCATGTTCACCAATCAATTCACGGCGTTTCTTGTCTTGTGTCAATAAGACACTTCGAACACGGCCATTGAGAACAATATAAACATTTTGTGGTTTATAATCTTGTCTGAAAGAATTCGAGAGCAAAAAGCATGTTACGAACAATTTGAACGATATTCGCTCCTACCGGTATAAAGCTTTTCCAGCTTCGACGAGCATCCATTCCAGAGCAAAATCTATTTGACGTACTAATGGTGACATTCGTTGAACCATTGCTATGAGAAACGGCAAAACAAGCATTGTTTCGGACAAAAATATAGAAATGAACTAACTGGCTGCTATCGATAAGACTAAACTTGGTTGAATACGCAATAGGTCATATATGCTCTCTTTTGTTAATGTACAAATATCTGTTAAACCATGTGTTCGGTAAGAGAATAGTGTTGGTTCTACAATAGGAGACAATAATGGATACACAATGGATATATTCTTCGATTGAAAAATACGAACCACCAGTAAGAACACTGACAAGACCGCTAACTTCATTTTCTCGATTGATGAACATAATACCTAGAACGAATGCGAAGGAAGTCGTCAACATTTCAATTTAGGTAGTTTGGAAAAATCTTTCTTACGCTCTTTCTTTGATCCACTTATTTCTCGCATATGAGCCGCGATTGCCCCATGTATGACAAAGAACAATTTATTCAACTGTTCACCTTCTCGAGCCAGAGTATATCTGTCTGGTAGACGGTGCATGTGAAATTTATCATCAAGCAATGTGACATCTCCTTCAAAACCTATTGTGATCAAAGCAAACAATTACATTAATATTCAATGAACATATGACAAATCCCACCAAGAGCTTTAGCTAAAGCTTCTCGAACTTGTGGCCATTCCGATTGTAGATTTGAGCTGTCCATGCGCTCGTTATATTCACTTCCAGCACTATCACTACCTGAGCCTGCTGATCGAGAGTATTGATGACCGTAATCAGGCTAGAAGAAAACTTTAATTCGGATGGAAAATGAAAAGACGGATTAGTTACGTCGGAGAAACTTGGTCGTCGATGGCCGGCGGATGAGTTGGATGTTCGATTTTGCGACACATTTGGATAACTTATCTTATGTTTTTCAAAGAACGTTGTATCTAACGAATTTTTTACTCGAGCACGAGCTGCTGCTTCTTCAAAATCTGGTTTCATGTAGTTTCTTTCCACCACACTCATCGATCGCTGACCAGCAAAAGTCGATAAACGTCTTTCCATAGGTATGGAAACCGATACAGTTCGCTCAGTTGTCGTTGGTGCAGACAAACCTTCGAATTCATTAGTCTGTTCACTAATTTCTGGTGTGACAGTTTGAGTATGATCTGACGAAGGTGAAGTATACGATGTTGTAGAGATCGACCGTGATAATTGAATGTTATTGTTATCTGCTTGTTCATCAGTTGTATTGCTTAGTACATCAATAGAAGGTGTTGTTGTATCGGGAACAGATTTAGGCTGGATAAGACTTTGTTGACGTTTTATTTTGTTGTGATGAGCATCTTTTTGAGTTTTATGAACTGATTGACCACGAAATGTATCATTAAATGAACGAGTCAATTCGGTTGTCAAACCAAGATAATCATGAAGAGCAAGAAATGTAACACGTTGAAGTCGAATCATCAGAATCTAAATAAACACCAAGCGTATGAAAATCAAGTCAGAACTTTCCTTGTAAAAGTGAAACTTACTTGAATAATTCGAACCATGCATTCCGGGTATTCTTTGAATACATTCAAAAAGGCAACTGCCGGTAATTTCAGTACAATACTATCTTCAATTGCTTTGCAACTAACAGTTTTAAATGGTTTACTATGACCCTAGAACAACCACTCAATGCTGAGTTAATGCATAAAATTACTCTTGTCACTTACAGTCATCACATCTACCATACTTAGTAGAGAAAACACTGTATCACCTTCCACACATTCTTTAATCAAATGTCGATGATGTTTCTAGAAGTAAAATGTCTTTTGTTTGAAATCAAATCATAAGACACGTTGGATTTTTACTTCGTCTGTAATAAATACGTGTAGAAGTCCTTTTTGTACTATGTATAAACTATCATCAGCATCACCAATTCGAAAAATATAAGCACCAGCGAGAACAGTTTTACTTTCTAAATACTTGCACAGTTCAAGAAAAATAGGCCGTTCAAAATGACCGAAAACTCTAGATGAAAACGAATTATTCTATGAATTTCCGTCTAAATCCGATAACAGACTTGACACTTTTCAATAGATATAAGATTTCCGGTGGAATTTGATGTTGATTAGATCCATCGGCTCCATCACCATCCGTGTCTAGCAAGAATTCCGGAGGTTTACGTTGTGAAAGATAGCTTTGCTCTGATGGAGCTTTTTGTTGATGAAATCTATAATGAAAACACAAGTCTAATTGATTTATTATCATTCAAATTCCTTTTACCTTCGTGTTTTACGTCGAATGCGATTTCGTGCAGTAGACGAATACGATCGCATCTAGTAAATTTTCCACAATGAAAACTCAAACAATTCAAAGTGTCTTACGGTACGTAGAAAGCGTTTTCCATAATGAAGTACTTTATCACGTTTACGAAATCGATTCGCGTTTTCCGTTGCTAAAAATCAATTAAAATTCTCTTTCCAAAAACAGCAAATCTCCTACTTCGAGTTTTCGCTTGCGATCGCCGAATAAGATAATAAAGTAGAACGACAACAGTAGACAAACAAAAGCCAACAATTGTAGTTTCAATCCGATCTCCAAATATCTAAGGAGCAAAATCAGCAAACCAAAGAAGTGTTATTCACTACTTACTAAACGTCCATTTAAGAACGAGAACTGTTCAGGGATATATTGAGTAATATTCATATTTATTCACATCTACAAAGTAGATTGATAAATCCTTTCGATTTTTCTATAAAATATTTCAAAAAAAGAAAACAGATTCAATCGTTCATTATGCATAGAAAAAAAAACGAAGAAAACGTCAAACAAAACACGCTGGGCTTTCATTGATTTAGTTACAATCCGTTAAAGCATTGTCGTATGTGTAAACACACTGAAAAACAAACTCAAGAGGGGAAACAATTTTGAAAATATTCGTCATTCGGAAGATCTGAGATATTAAAAAAAAAAAGAATTCAACTTCAACAAACAAACGATAAAAAAAGCCTTCTTCTCGATTATTGTCGTTCGTAGAATAACACATATGCATTCGACGATATGATACTCTCTTCATCGTTGATTGTATGAACATTTGAATCGTTAAATTCATGCCATTCATGTGTGAACGGATGTTTACATTCAGCGACATAGTGGCCGGTGTAAAGTGAACCACTATGATTTGAAATGCCGAATAAATTGTAGATTGGGGGTGGTCCTGGAAGATTGAGATATGAAGGGAATGAGAAGAATTGATGGAAGAAACAAACCTTCGGCACTTTCGGATATGAACTCGTTGAGTCGAAGGTTTTCGATGGGAAATTTTACTAAATTGTTGAGTTTCCCTCGACCAAAAGATTGAGAAAAACGTTTGAGATGAAGAACAAGAATTTCGGGACATTTCTGAATTGAGAGTTGTTTGGTACATCGACGTTTTTGTTTACATTTAGCACACATCTAACACAACCGAAGATAAAGAAAATTTATATTCAGTTCTTTCATTTTCTCTTACCGGTTTCTCGTCGCCATCAAGTTCTTCTTTGTTCATAAATAATTGAAAACATTCTTGTAAACTAGTTGATGATTTATCCTGTAAGACAACAAAATCCGCTTCTTGTTCTATTCGTGTCGTTCACTACTTACACGTGGCAAAGGTATCGATAGATCCCAAAACATATCAAAGGTTATCGATTGATATTGACAAAACGAACATTCTAGAGTGCTTTTTAACTGGCCAGCGAAGATATCTTCAAAATAAATCGATAATTTACTAAAACTTCCTTCCAGTCAAACATACCAACGAGTCGACTATTCTCATATTTTAAGCAGCGTTGCCAACTGGCTTTCGCGCGATCGATTTCCCTAAAGATGAAACATTGTCTTTCAATGCTAATCTTCTTCTTATTTTACCTCATTCGTTCTTCTTGTTTTTCGTCAACAGTAATCGCTGCTGGCTTAATCCGTACTCGATTCACATCTTCGCTCAAGCCTTGCAAAAGATACCGTAGAAATTCTTGTGAATCTTGTTCGCTAAAAGAGAAGCAAATCAATAGTTGATATTCAGTGAAACTTTTCACCTACGAATAACCCGTAAAACGTGGAGCGAACTTTCCAATCGTATTCTTGAAAGACGATGGACTAACAATCGATCGCTTGTCGGATGATAACCACATCTTACGAATTAAACTAGCATATTCTAAAACGTAATCAATCATATAAAAGCTCAGTACAATCGATTTTGTTTGCACACAAACCTTTCATTAGAACGCCTTTCATCACGCTTGTTGTTGATGTGTTCAATTGATCGTCGAGATTCTCTTCCAAACAATACAATAAAAGAGGTTTTGTATTCGATAAACATTGTAGTACCGAATTCATAAAACACTAAACGATTGATTCTTTGAAGAAAGGGACTACATTCGATGAACTTTACTGTGTTTCCGAGATTCTGTAGACCGCATAGGCCACCATTCATTAAATTTGATTGAGAATTTGTTGTTGTCTTCGGTACTGCAGTTGCGGTTGATGAGATTTTTGAAATTGAAGATTCATTATTCGAAGAGATACTATAAACAGTCGCTGTAGGATTCATTGTTTGTTCTGTATGGTCATGAGTAATTCCATTTGTTTGGACATTCTAAAAAATTGATCGATCAAATAACAATCTTTCGAACGAACCTTAAAGAAAAATTGCATACTGATCGATCTTGACTAGACGATCCCGTTCGAAGCGAAGTAATCCTGGTTGATCGAAGTGGTCGTTCAGTTGACGACGGCGTTCGACTAGTTCCAGCTGATATGCTCATATTATTAATAGATCTTGCTATTGCGGCAACATTTGTAGTTGTTCCGAGTGGTACTGAACGTGCCGGTGTGGAATATTTACTTGAATAAGTTGATGAAGGTGGTAATGGTATACCTGGAGAAGTTTTTTGTCGGCTCATTCGATATTTGTAATAGGCGGCACTAATGGCCACCTGATGAACTAATACATTAGATTCTCAAACAATTTCTGTTGTTTTTATTTCATGAAACATACTTCTCCATATAAACGACGCAACGATTTCATTGGTTACATACGTGAAGAAACGAAAAGAACAAAAATGTATTATTGGCTTAGTCTCTTCGAGCAATAAAAATGATTGAGTAAGAGATGGCGTCGTTTACTATTACGAACAACAGAATGATCGAAACAGAACAAGTTTAGAAACGATTTTTTCAGTTCTCATAATTAGCACAAGAGTGCTGTAGCGACCATTTTATATAAAACTCGTTATTATGCCTTAAGAAATATTGTCTAAGACCGATTTATATTAACTTCAAATCAGTAATTTGAATCTCTTCTTTGTTCTGAAATGATTGAAGTTTGGATTCACCATTGATGTAGTTCAAGCTCTTCGAGCGAATTATCCATCGAAAACTATCTGTATATAATGTTTAGAATGTGTGTTTGCCTATACCAAATCAATAGTAAAAGCTGAAAGGTGAAGAATAGAGGATGTAATATATTAAAATCATATAGTATCCTTATATACAGTACAATCTCAACTACCTCTATCGAGTACGACTAAAGAAGAATTATAGAAGTTTCCGAGGAGAATCACTAGTCCATAACATAATGTAAATCACATGCGACAATCGATCGGTTAGTTCGGACTTATCGTGCGCTCGTTTTTAAAGATTCTTCTTCCTAGAACGATTCTAGACTTTGAAAGCATATAGCAGCACAAAGCAAGACTCCTAGTTTTCATTGATAGCGTTAATAAATTGTACTCTGTTATGCTTAGGGGTGTTACTTTATCTTTACTTTATTTATAAAGTAAAGATTATCTTTATTCTTTATTTCAAGAAAAGTAAAGAAAAAGTAACATACCTAATTTTTCAGCCAAGTGTGAGATTATATGTTAAGTCAGAAAATGAACCTAATCTTAGGTAAAATGTAACATCTTGTCTCACGACATAACTCCCCGTTAATTTAATTTGTGAATATCAAAAATTTTATTGTGTTTGGTCAAAAATTGTAAAAAAATTCTTTATTCTTTATTTAAAGAAAAATAAAGATAAAGTAACACCCCTAGTTATGCTATATACCTATGATAGTGTTTTTAATGGAAGTCAGTATTGTGAAACGACTGAGAAAAGCAAGAGATAATCTTCATAGGAATCAAACGTTTTACGGAAATTGATTCTCTCGTTTCTATTTGTCGAAAAATATTTCCTAATATTTGTGGAAAACCATTCTTCACATCAGCGACATCGATACACTCTAAAGGAAAAATTCGATAACAGTTTAAATCAAGAATTGCCGTCTCTTCCTTATTCCAACAATAACAGATCTCTTATAAAGAAACAACAAATTTCGTATTCGAGAAACGTGATATTGTTCAGATCATCACAGACATTATAGAATTTCACAAAGATTATTTCAGCAATTTGACTTCACATAGAGAAAAACTTTCGGAGAGATAACGTGTTGCATTGAATGAAATATAACGAAATGATCGGAGTTGGAGTGGAAAGTGTTTCGAATCGATTATTAATCGATGGAAATTGTCAATAAACTTTTCTGATTTGATTTGCTGAGATAATAACGGAGAAGAAATCCACCATTGACCATCAAATGACACATGAATATCTAAATAATTTCGAAAATTTTCACTCTGATTGACAATTAGCAGAAGAATGATATTTGTTTCAATGGAATGGAAATCAAAAGCAAAGAAATCGCCTTTGTTGACAAATCTTCGTGGATTCCAACACGTTGTTTCATCACCATCAATCGCCTTCGTTACATTCGAATCCATAGAATCGTTCGATTTGAATTCATTTCCACGTCTTGTGTGTTGAGTCGAAATATCAAAAGCAAGAATATTACTGAATAAAATGAACTCATCAGTTGGACTTGATGTTTTGATAAGATATGGAAATCGACGTTGTTGATGTCGAGGGAAAGTTCCATTGGTTTTTCGTTCATTTAAACGTAAAGATGATTCTAGTTGACGAAGAGCAAGAATAGAACTTGTTTGTTGTAATTCAGTGATTTTCCGTATGGGATAAATATCAGCTTTACGTTGATTTTCAGTAATTGGCAATGATTGAACATTAACTATTAATTGAGTTGGAATATCATTGAACCAAATCGGAAAATAAACATCACTAAATAGCCAGAACTCTAAATTATGAATAGAAAACAAATTCTTTCATAATCAATTTACTATCGAAATTCAAACCTGGATGATCTTTGAAATGAATTTCTAAAAATTGTAAATGTCTTTGTGCATGTTCACGTAAAAACACACTTCCTCTATTCATCACTGCAAATCCCGTATGCAAATCAATTGACTCGTCGAAATATGTTTTGAACATGTTCTTATAAAACATCGACAAATCACTTGTTGTGTGTAAAACATTTGGATCAGATCGAAAACTTGATATGAGACTTCGAATATATGATTTGATGTTCCATTCAACATCGACATAGAAACAAACAAGTGTTTGTGCTAATGCACATGCACGATATTTTGATTGATCTCGAAGAGTTTTATTGGAATTGATGATATGAATACGAATTGATGATGTGTTTTTATTTAAAAGAGAATTTAGAGTTAAATTCTTTTGTGGATCATCGTTCCAAATGATAATTTCTTGGAAAAGTTTCGTTTCAAGATAATAGTGAAGTAATGGTTTGATATTCGGAGAGTGTTGAGAGGAAACAATAATCCCTGTTAATTGATATTGTGTTTTAAAGTTCATTTCTTCATGTTTAGCGTGTTTTAATGCATTGAATGTTAAGTTGATATAAGATGAATCAGTGAAATCAGGATTTGGATATTCATTTAAATATTTGTAAATCATAAGAATGAAACAAACACTTGTGAGAAGTTTGACGATTTGAAATGATTGAATTCTTCCAAACATTGTTCAACAATGATCACAAATTTACATACCAATGTCAAATGTTGTTGAAGTTTTATCCAAAGATTTTCTATTAGACAATCAATTCAATATGTTACCATCATAGAAGAGACATTGGGTTTATGTGTGTCTTATCTGTCTATACTGATACTTTTGCAAATATTCTCATTAAAAGTGGGTGTCAGCTTGATATTTTCATTTCATATCAATCTGACACAAATAAGCGCGTGAGATTTGATTAATAATATCGATTTAAATCTTTAACGATGAAGAATCATTTATATTAATCGAAAACTTTCAGATTGTATCAAAGTATGTCTTTTAGATGAGAAATTTCGACAATTCATCGCTATGCCAAACATTTAGTTACTCTCACAGAACCATAGTAACATGTAATCGCCATTATATATGTGTTTTTTTTGCACTTTAAAGTAATACTCTGTATTGGATTTAATATTCATCTAAAAGATATATGTGATGAATATCAATACAACACATGATGTGTATACATGAAAGTCAGTTTCATTTTAGATGAATAATTCATCAATGAATATGAAGATTTCCATTCTGAATAACCTATAACATAATAATTCTGAAACTAGTAATTAAGACAAGAAGTCAAACATAATTTCGACTAAGTAGCTATAAGGGAAGGCATGAGTGAATATACACACCTAGTATTTTATTATGTCTATCACCACAAAAATCAGTTTTCAAGAAATGACCGATGGTTGGGCGGTGCTCTACCTAGTCCATCCTTAGTAACGCCATCAGTATGACTATATCTAGATAAGCACCAGAGTGTATTAGGAATTGAGCACGCACAGTGGACACTTTCAAATTCGACGAATCAGTTTTTACTTAAATTGAGTCTCTACAAACAACAGTGAACCATACCGTTGTATATTTATTCGTTATTAATTTTCAAATGACCATAGAACTCATTTACTCCGTCTATAATAGTGTTATCTCAATAAAGATCCTTCTTCTACTTATTGGACATTTTGAAAAGTCCCGATGGCGTTCATTATGAAGAGATTTTACTATACATTATAAGTCGAACTAGGTAGGTACTCGTTCGAGTGAGTAATTGTGCAAAGCAAAGAATCTTTTAGAGAATTTGATATTCACTGATATGTAGATTCGAAGCTGTGAATATTTTCTCAGGAACAAACTTCCAATTACAAATAAACTATCAACAATGCCAAATGCAACCGATTTGAAAAATAAAAACATTTGGCAGCTAAACATTAGCATAATACAAAGGGATACATCGATTGTTGGATTTTGTAGGGAAAAGTCAGTTTTGCAAACGGGTGTATTAATAAAGCTTCCAAAAACCATTCCCTTTCCTCTTCAAAAACTGCAAAAAAACATGAAAATTTCGGAAAAGCTTATGTCGATTCGCTTCTATATAATTTAGCACAGTTCTTTTACAAATATAAATCTTCTATTTTCCTTTTTGTTCATAATTTGTTAGCGAAATACCAATCCTTGTCTCAGTGTGTGTATTGAGTATCTTTTTGTCTTCGCTAAAAATCGAATCTTAATCCACAAATTGATCGATTTGTCAAGATGCTTGGAGTTGTTTTTTTTAGTATTGAATAGATTTTTTGTATGTCTTCTTCTTTCGCTGGATCTCAAAAGATGAATCACATTTTAAGAACATTGACAAATAAATATTTATGACATCCATCAATATTTGTCAAGCTAAGTATTATAAAACAATAGAAAACGTGACACGACATTTTGTTTCTTTTCTTACTTTGTATATATTCGATACAGGTATAAAAATTTATCCTGCTGATCATAGCTATACGAAGTCACTTCAATGAAATAGAGAAAAAGTATCGCTCTTTGAATTCTTTTTAGATTGATTAAGTGAATTTCATCGATGGCAAATAATTGTAACAATGATGTCAATATTCATGGATATGTAGCACCAGGCTGGGAGATTGTACGCACAGTTTTTGAGCAGAATTTCATTGACGGATTGGACATAGGTGCAAGTGTGTGTGTTTATCATCGCGGACAATGTGTGATCGATTTGAGTGGTGGATGGAAAGATGTACAGCATAGAGAAGAGCCCTACACATCGCAAACACTGCAGCTAGTGTTTTCAGCAACAAAAGGAGTGACGGCTGCGGCCATTGCTCTCTGTGTTGATCGAGGTTGGCTAGATTATGATGAACCTGTTGCAAAATATTGGCCAGAATTTGGTGAAAATGGGAAAGAGGTATGTGTTCCGTTTGGAAACGAGGAGAAGATTAAGAATTGTGAATATCTATTCATTTAGAACATCACTGTTGGTGAACTAATGTCACATCGAGGTGGATTACCATGTGTTGATGAGCCATTGACACTTGATGATGTTTGTAATTGGTCTCGGATGACATCATTATTAGCAGCTCAAAAACCATATTGGCAACCAGGAACTACGCATGGTTATCATGTTGTGACAGTTGGCTTTCTTGCTGGTGAATTAGTTCGTCGAGTTGATCCTAAACATCGATCGTTTGGTGAATTTGTTCGTGATGAACTGGATAACGAATTCTATGTTGGTGTGCCAAATGACGAAATCGAGGCACGTGTGGCTCCACTTATCAAGAAAGTACGCACCCAGTGGTCAAGCTGACTAAAAAAACTGATCTCTTTTTGTTTCGTTTGAAGATCATTCTCACTCCAGCTCCTCTGCCGCCCATGGATATTCTCACTCAAAAAGCTCTCTCTTGCAGCGGGGCTTTTCCAATGGAACCACCTTCTAGTACAAATATCGTATTCAACAAAACTGAACTTCATCGTGCACAGATTCCGGCTGCTAACGGAATAACAAATGCTCGAACATTAGCTCGAATTTATGCACGATTGATTGGTGATGTTCATGAAAATGGTGAAACCAAACCATGTTTCATAACTGAAAAAACATTAACAAAAGCGACAACAAGTGTCACACCAAAAGATGAACCTGATCGCATTCTCTTTGGTGTGACATCAAACTTTGCTCGTGGTGGTTTTCATGCCTATGGGAATTATTTCAAAGCATTCACAACAGGCGTATTTGGTCACAAAGGTAATATCGATTGGATTGAATTGATCATTTCAACAACGATATTTCTGTCTTTCCTTCTAATAGGTATGGGTGGTAGTTGTGCATTAGCTTATCCTCCATATCAACTAAGCTTTGCCCACGTTTGCAATCATCTTGATTTCAGTGTGCCAACTTTGGATCCACGTACTGTCCGTCTCATACAAGCAATCGAAACTCTTCTCAGGCATCATTGATCTTGTTCTATTAGACCTTTCTTAAATTTCATTGAATAACTGATATGATTCCTTTATCATTTCTAAATAGATTTATAATCATAACGAATAGAAAATACAAATTTCCCTTGAAAGAAGAGATTGCTCCTCATAAAGAATAAAACATCGACCATCTTTCACCACAAGTCTCGCAACAAAACGCCAAACTATCATTGAAGCGGTTTAAAATTTTGATAAAACGATTGTGTCACATCAATCATCAATTCTTTTGCTGTTTCCGGAAAATCTTCAACAAATGCTGCAGGTGATCCACCATAAATCGCTACAAAAAAAAACACAAACAAATGTCATTCACCAACTTCATTCGATTTCTTTTCTCACGTACTATACGAAGGAATGACTGTTTCGGGTGGAATAACACTATTTGGCAAAATATATGAACAATCCATAATAATACATCGTCTTCCAATAACACTATTCTTTCCAACGTGTACATATGATCCAATCGATGCAGCGTTGATCACACATTCATCTTCGATAAACACATGATCACCGATTTGCATAGGAAAGAATGCCACACCTTTGGCAAATTTCTTGAACGGTGGACGAATAACACATTTCTCTCCTATGACACAGTTTTTACCAATTTTCACAGCGGCCAAGTCTCCACGAACAATACAATCAGCCATAACAATAGTTTTACCTTGAAGAACTATATTTTGTGAACCACACATGATCGAACGACGACAAACTTTGTTTCCTAAATCATCACAACAGAAACATTGATGGTTCATTCAAATTCTTCTCTTACCTGATGTAGTTTCAATAAAATCCGCTTTTTTATACGAAACTTCCGGTAATTCCATCTACAAAAAAGCACAATCAAGAATAAATAGAACTGCGCCTCACAAACTCTCTTTACAAGCATCTGCTAAAAAACGAAGTAAATCACAATCAAAATATGAAAATCGTTTTTATGATGGCAATTGATAACTTTTATCCCACAATTGCAACAAACCCAACAACGATGAAACCGTTCCAGCGAAACCTTGTAAACCTGGATTAGCACGAACAACATTCAAATTCGACAATGGAATGTAAAGATCGCAAAGATTTTTGATTGTGTCAATCACTAACGGTTTATTTGCCCAGAACAGATTTGCTTGACGCATCAATGATTTATCTTGTTTTTGATGATATTGTCCAATATGAAATGATGCTTGAATTTCATAATAATCTCGTGTCAATGCACAGGACACCCAAAGAAGCCATACTTGATAAAGATATTGTTGAAAACGTTGTGCATTTGTCAAATGGAGGATTTTGTATCGATGAAGTAATAAAATATTGTCGAAGAACATGAATAAACCTTGACAAACAGCAATCAAACCGAACAATGTTCCAATTCGTTTGTTTCGAATATGAAAACTTTCCAAAACACTTTTTACATAATCAACAAATCGACCAAGTCGCATTCCTTCAAAAATAAAACAATCAATAAACTTTCCTTACTATACAAATGTTCTTTTTTTTACCTTTTCGAGTCAAACTCATCATTGATTCGATGTTTTGAAACAGTTCACCATTGGCAACTCCTCGTTTCTTTATATAGTACCATGCGAGAAAGCGTGATGCATATTGAATTGTTCGGTAGATTTTATCACGACCAGCTGTTCGTGATGTGAAGCGAATGATTTCATCAAGACTAATTTTCGAATTAGACATCTAAAAGATAAGATTAATCATCATCACGACTGCTTTTGATTATCTTAAAAAAGAAATAAAAATCATGTAAGAAGTTATCAGACTATTGAATGAAAACTTGTTTATCTGCTTCGAATAGTTGACAGTGATTCACTGAATAGATCACATCGACTACAAGATGAGAAATCAGATGGAAAGGGAAAGAAAGGATAGAGATTACTTGATGAACGGGAGTAACAAAAGCACATTCATCGAATAAGTGATTTAGAAAATCATCTGATCGAACAGAAGAGAACGAGTTCGATTGTTCTTTCTTTGGAACATATTCAAATGGTTTTACATCTGCATTTAATCGAGAGTTTTGCGTATTGTCACAATTTAAATACATATCATTCTTGAAATGTTCGGTTCGAAATTGATGAAGTTCTTCTTGTAATTGTTCGATGATTGTTTTCAATCGGTGTAATTGTTCAATACCAATTTGCTTATTCAACTTCAAATTGAACAAACGTTGTCTAATATCTTCTAATCGATTTCGTTGGTTCTGTTTGAAATGTGTCCATTTTTCGTTGATTGTGAGATGTGTCTTTGTCAATTCGAACAACCTTTATTGATAGATTTTGTTCAACTGTTTCATTTGCTTGTCCATCCAAATATTCAAATGTTCTGTCAGAATGAAAACATATCATCAAGTTTCTTCTTGTAAGTGCCACAGATCATACCTTCAGCTAATGTGAATTGTTGTTCAAATGACAGACTCTCGATCTGTGGAATCAATTGATTGAACTGATCACAGCAGACATGAGCTTGACATATAAGTTCTTCGTTATGTCGTAAAATATGTTTCATACAAAGTTGCTACAATGATCAACGATGTTGTAAATCTTCGAATAGGAAGGATGATTCAGACTTTATTTGTTTGCAATGAAGACAAACAGCTATGGAACTGTGAAAAGAGTATGATATCTGACAGACTTCCATCTAAAGTAAGTATGGAAATCTAGGTTGTGAATGTTTTATCTCGATAGGTAATTGTGTCAGTTTTAGTACGTAAAAGATCGAATCGAACGACCGAACTGTAATCTTGACTGTAATTCTGTCCAATTGAAATATATATCTGAAGAGAGCGCTAGTTATACATTAGAATTCGAAGAAAGAGAGTCTTACTACAGAGAATAAAATGCGTATTTTATTTTGTCAAATCACTTCAGTTTACAAGAAATGACCAAAATGAAAAAGAAAAACTAAAGTAGCAATATAGGACAGTTCTATATTTTATTGTATTCAAGACCACCTTTTCCTGTAGCACGTCGAAATATGTATATAACACCATCTCTTGCATAGACTGGCAAAGCTACCCAGAATGTTCGATGCGGCAGAATATCCAAACCTGTTCGTTGAAGGCGAACTTTATTGTATATGGCAAATCCAATGATATAAACCACAGCAAGAACCAGTAGAATAATGATAAACACAACACCTCCAGGTAAACCACCGCCACCCGCCGCTATTTGCAACAGATTCTTATGATTGACATCGACATCTCTATTTCTCAATGAACGACTTACCTTTGCATCCGTTCCAACAAGAACACTTGGATAGTAAACGAAACTTATAATTGTTTGTTGGACTTTCACCTAACGCTTCCAACTCAGCAGTTGCACTGTCCGTACATTGAAGTTCAACAGTGACGTGTTTTAGTTCAAACGTATATTCGATTGTTGGATTCGTGCCGGCACCAGCTCCTTCGTTCCATTTGGCACTATCTTGCTTACCGAGAATGAATGTAAGTGTTTTGTCTTTCGACACTGAATAAGATCAAACTAATGAATTTCAAAACTTATTGTATAAAAATGCGATCTAACCTTGACAAACAGCAACGTCTTTACATGTGTCGCCTTCACTAAAAGACTTGCACGGGTTGTAGCTATAAACTATATAGAAAAAAAAGCATGATCCAGTTCGAGGGGAATCTGCACAATACATACTATAGTTAGATCCTATCGAAGGTGTTTCATCGGGAAATGCGGCTTTTCCATCTTTGTTAGCTAACGACGATATGTCAATGACTCCTTTTTCTTTAGATTCAAAACGACAGGGATCATCGGAACTAATGACCGAGAAAAGGACACTGACGAAAATAACGACAATGCAATTTGTAACTCGACTCATTTTCATGTGAAGGTTCTTTTCGTTTCAAAAGAAAAACACGAAATAAATAAAAGATAAACGAGCAAAACTCGTCATCATTATTTATCATTTATCTTCATCATTTCGTTTTCTCTATTTACTCAACTATTTCATTATCTTTTCTATATAAAAATACTCTGTCATGTCTTTGCTCATTAGTCGATATTTGAAACCATGATGACCATCTTTCTCCTTCATATCCTTTGTTTCCATGTTCATCTCACTGAACATACTTCAATATAAACCAAAAACAATTGTATTTATAAACGCGTGCGATTCGGTCGTATCCATTTATCTACAGAAGGATTAGAACATGGATTCCTGCTTTTCGACATATACCTAAAGATAAATGTCTCTTTTCGTGAGATGAATACAATCCATGTTAGCCATTTTCGGAAGACTCATCATGTACAAATATAGCGATTTGTCAAAGTTAGTCTATTCTTTTTTGCAACCAATTTCATCAATAGTTACTTTTCCCTTTAGTTACCAAAGATGATTCAGCTTATTATAATCTTGGTATAAATTCTTTGATCTCATACTCGAATACTCCCAAAGGTAAACCCACGCTTGTCTATTCGGTCATCGAGAGTGAAACTATTATCAATCTTGAATGTTCAACTTGTTGTCAGCGGCGAATATGAACTATGTCATTCTAATCTAATGTTATTTAGCAAATGTGTATGTTGGAATGTGTGTTTAATGTTTTTTTTCAAATTCAAAGCTTTTTTTTATGTTCAATACAATTTATTTGAAAACCAGTTAGAATTTCAATCTTCTAGACGTTTTCGTTTCTTTTTTGTTTTGGTTTTTGTACCATTGACTTTCGGTTCATCTGAGCCGAATGGTAAACAACGAAGTTTAAGATCAGTTGGAAAATCTGGCCGAAAGGTAACTTCTTTAGGTGCGCAATCCATTGGCGGATCGATATCTTGAATTAATGAATATGTTTCCACTGGAGATGATACTAAAGCAAACGATCGCTTTTTCTCTCATTCGTATCAAAGAGAAAACTTACTTAATTGTGCTTCGTTTCCTTTACTATTCTTTTGAAAGCAATACAGTTCAGCTGTTGAATCATTTTGACGACGAGCACGTAATTTATGATCACCCTGGAGAACAAAGTTGTCAATCTTTGCAAAGTGATTTCGATGACTTACTATAGAAAATTGTCTTCCTTTAGTTAAATGACGATAGGACAACGGAAGTTCATTCACATTCGCAAATGATTTAAGTAACTACGAATATTTAGATGAAAATAAAAGGAAAGAAAATCAGAAACTATGACATACAGCTTTGGGAAGCAACAAAAGGACTGGTTTCATGTCCGTCATCTGAAAAGAATATAAAACCACAAATCGCTCGATCAGTGAAAGGTAGAAACTAAGATTTCGAGTATTTTTATTGGATTATTAATATTCACATCGATCTAATTACATAAATTCAAGACGAAGAACAAAAAAACAACAACAAATTCAGTCCCGATTTTGTTCCTCACAAGCATCAATCCAGGCATTGTAAACATCTACAGCTTCGCTCAAATCTAAAACCAACAAATAATGAACAACACACGCGAAATATTTGACACTCACAATGAACCGATGTTGAATATGCTTCACGACACATACGACATTCAATCGTTCCAACATTAGCTTTTCGATCACTGAAAATCGCGGATGAATTCAGATTTCACGAAGAAAGTTTTATCTTACATTTTCACTTCACATGATCGATCATGTGAACAGAATGGACATGGAAATGTAGCAGCCAATGCTTCAATACGCTTTTGCTTTGGGGGAGGCTTTCGTTTGGATTTTCGTTTGCCCATATTTTTAATAAAGAAAGCAAAATCTGAAAAAGATTCAAATCAACAAACTTGTCAATAGAGACAAAAATAAAAAGAACGATTTTGTCGTTGATTTTTATTGAAAACTAACACATTTTTTTATTATTTCTTTTTGCTTTTGCCTTTCACTTTCGGCTCGGATTTAACCGGAATCGGTTTAGCATGATCAAGTTCTTTAATATGTTTAAAGAGGACATTCCGAGAAGAAAATTCTTCTTTACAAACAAAACATTGAAGAATAATCGGTTCTTGCGATGTCTGAAATGAAATCTATTGATTAAAACAAAGACATTCATAATTCAAACCTCAGGATTTGTTTCTGTTGTCGATTTATCCTTATTTTTAGTTACTGTTGGTGCTGCGCATTCTTCTTCGTCTTCATTCTGTTCATTGGATACTAATGCTTCAGTCTGTTCATCTGATGATGCATCATTTTCTTTGTTATTTCGTCGTTGTTTCTTCTTCTTCTTTTTCGATTTACTGAAAAACAAATATGTGATATCATTCGAATGAAAACATCATGATATTTACCTGGATTGGTTATTCGTGGGTAATTGCACAAATTGATCGTAATCCGCATTCGTTAATTCAACTTGATCTTGAGTATTCAATGATAAATCTTCATTTTCTTGTTGAATATGTGCTTTCATCAATTGCACGAATTCTTTATGTTTTCGAGAATTTTCATGATTGAGGAAACTTTAAAGAAGCGAGTAGAATGTGAAAAGGAAAACATGACTTTGTTTTTCTTACGCTTTATCGGATTTGAATGATTTATTGCAAGCTACACAATATAATTCATTGATATCATCATCGGAATCATCCGGATTGTCATTTTGATCTTCGTCGTTGTTATTCATTTTTGCTTCTTGAAACTGATTTTTTACTGAATTTTCCAAGTCATCTAATTGTTTCTCTAAATCTTGAAATGACATCCATTGAGATTCTTTGTAATTTGCTAATTCTCTACAAAGTGAATTTCATGGAAATGGAAACGATTAAAAGAAAATCTTACTCCAATTTTTTTTGCTTTTCGCGATTTCGTCGTTCAGTATCAGTTTTCTTCTTCTGTGCTGCTTGTTCTTCAAGATAAATCTGCAAATAGACGAAATTGAATTTGCTTTCCGAATGAGAACTTTCATTACTTTTCGAAGTTGTACTCGTTTATCACGTTTTTTCACAAATGCAACTAATTCCTAAACATAATCATTTCATATTTCTACAAATTTTGTCTACTGATTTCTCATACCCGAACTTCCTCATTCCGTTCCTTTTTCGCTTTATCACGTAGTTTTTTATTTTCCTGTTCCATCAATCGTCGGACGCGTCTATCCATTGCTTCACGTGTATCATGTTCTTCTTTCCAAACATACGATCTTAGTGTACAGTAACTCGACCAGTATGCATAAAATGGACCAACAACCTGTTCATCAAATGACAAATCTTGCGAAAAAAAAACACCAAATAAATCATTCCTTACATCATCATATGAACTTTCTGACGTTCCGAACTCGGGTATTTCAATTGTTTTATCAGTGGATGCTTTCAAATCTTGTTCAGCTATGTCTTTAAACAGCTTATTGTAGACCGTATAAAAACCCTTAAAGATAATAGAAAAAGAAATCGATGATATTCATCAATTGTTTATCAAAACATACATTTTCACTATCATTGTATCCTTGGTAGCACGAAGATGTAAAAAACGGAAAGATATTGATTGTATCATCTTGATAATCATCGCCAGAACTTTTTTGCAGCATCACATCTCGATGAGCGTCATACCAAGCACGTTCTCTTGAATCTGACAGAACTTCGTAAGCAGCTCGAACTTCTAAAAATCGTTGTTGCGCTTCCGCTATTCGATCAGGATTTTTATCTAAGAGAAACACGATTCATAAAAACAAAAGTTAACCATTCGATTGAACGAACCGGGATGCCATTGCAATGCTAATTTCTTATACGCTTTCTTCAAATCGTCTTCAGTCGCGTTCTGATCAACACCGAGTACTTCGTAATGACACCGCATATTGAAAATAGATTCTGTGAAGTAATATAATTTCAAAATATTGCTTTTCTTTTATTTCAATTGATATCCAATCAAATTCATGTTATTAACCTCTACTTCTAATTGTTCTTCTTTCGACCAATCAGAATCGATCTCTCATTGAACTATCTCCAGATCGAATACAAATAAGGTTTTCGTAAAGGATTTCCATGTATCTTGGAAGTTAACTAATTAGAGATGAGTATTGTTTCGGAAGAAGTCTTAATTCGATTTGTTTGTTTCATTCTATTCTATGAAGAAAGAAAAATCTTGTTTTGATTTGCTGAAACTGATGGAATTTAACAAGAAAAGATTAGCACAATCACAGCATTATTGTAAGTTTTTATAAAAAAAAAAAAAGACGAAGAAGAAAGAAAAAACACACGCACACACACTGCGTATACAATATGTACTACGACGAAAAAAAAAAAATACAATCATTAGAAAACAACAATAATTATCGCTGTGCTTGTGGTAATTGAACATGTGTTTGAAAATTTGTTTCGTTTTTAGTTGAAACTCGTACTGTTGGCTTATTACCGAGAATTCGATCGATGTCGGTCATGACTGATGGAGTTAATTTCGATACAATCTTCAAAGAAGAAACTCAAATAATTGAATAAGAACGAGTATCACGAGATTTTACTTGTAATGAATTGAGATTTTCGTAGAGTTGTTCGACAGATGATGCGCCAAGTAGAACACAGTGAACGCTCTCACTTTTCAAACACCAGGCTACGAAAGAAGACAGGATTATCAATCGAATAAAATTTCCTCCTTATTTTTGTTCTTTAGATCTTCTCTCTCAACTTCTAACAGCTTACAATGAGTTTCGATAACTTAATTATTTTGACATATGTATATCAAAATCTATATTAACCGTGACATTTATTTCAGTTCGACTTGTTTTCTTAAAGAACCAATTTCATCGTTGACCTTGACATGAAGAACCTTACATTTGTTCTCAATGCACCTACCAATAGCTAATTGAGCGAGTGTACAATCAAATTTCGCTGCTAGGACAGCTAGTTCTCGTAATTTGCTTTGTTGTTTTCGACCTTCTTCATTCAGAATTTTCTCTTTCAACCAACCATAGCCCTAAAAACAGGATTCAAATTCGTCTATTATCTTCATTCAATGTTGTATTACTTTAAGTGCTGCTCTTGAATGTATTGGTACACCATCATCATATTTTCCACTCAGTAAGCCACATGCTAATGGTGACCATGTCATTGTTCCAATACCTAAATAGAATTAATGAGCAAGAAGAAAAACAAGTTGAATTAGTCGTACCGATTTTATGATAGATCTCGGGTAAATGTACTTCAACTTTATCACGTTGAAAGAGATGGTATTCAGCTTGTTCACATATTGGAGGAATTAAATTAAATTGTCGTGCAACTGAATAAGCTTCCTTGAAAAAAGATAGCGCACAGATTGTGCTTTGATGAAGAATGACAATGAGAGATTTACCATGATTTCCATTGGTGACCATCTTGATGTTCCCCAATAAAAGCAAAGATTATCATTAATAACTTGTGTAAATGCTCGAACGATTTCTTTAATTAAAAGTAAATAAATCGAGGAAAATTTTTCATCGGATTTTCATTTTACCTTCCATTGGCACTGATGTATCAGGTTTGTTAGCAAAAACAATATCAACATAATCTAATTGTAGACGCTCGAGGCTCGCTCTCAAACCTTCAATGACATGTTTTCTTGAAAGTCCTTTTTCTGTTTCAGCCCTATAGAAGAGAAACTCTTCCGTTTTCTTTTCAATAATCCTCCTCCACATACTTTCCGCCCCAGAACAATTTCGTCGAGACAATATAACTTGATCGTCGCCATTTTTTCTTTTTTAAAACCTTTCCAAGTGTTATTTCCGCTCTGTTACGGATGGACATGAATCAAAACAACGCAGAACAGAAGAACAAATTGTCTTACTTTCCAGCTGCATAAACTTCAGCGGTATCGAAGAGATTAATTCCACTATCATATGCAATCGTAACTAATTCTTCGGCAACATCATCAGATATCTGTCCGCCAAATGTAACCCAAGTTCCAAGGCCTAATTGAGAAACTCGTAATCCATTACGGCCCAAATTTCTAAAAAAAAACAAATGTTACTTCTGCTAATGATGATGAAAATTGTCTTTTTCTTTGATGAGGAGGAGAAGAAATGACTTAGTCAAGTTCGAAACGATATGAGACCTATATTTCAGATCAATTCTTTGAATTGGTAGTAGAGGACGAAGAAGAGGAGAATGAGATTGTTCATTTTCGATCGATTGTTGATCAAGATTCAACGATGCTGCTGGTGATGGCAAAGGAATAAGTGATCCGCATAAATGACGTGTCGAACGTGGCATACAGATTTCGTTAATGTTCTGATTGATTGACGAAGTATGAAAATTATTCAATTGATGTTCAAAATGAAAAATGTTATTAGCAATTTTATCAAATAATTGATTAGGATTATCTTCATGTAGAGTATTGACTGTTGCTGTTGTTGTTGTTGTCATTGCAGGCGATGGAAGTGATCTATATGACCTTTGAGTTGCAAATGATGTCGATGAGGAATGANTTCCCCATTAACAGAACAGCAAGTAACAGAATAAGGATCTTTACCATCGTCGTCGTCGTCGTCGTCGCCGTCTACCTTGTTATATTCTGGGTGCCGGTAGTGTACAAAGGCAAATAATATACAAGGCCATGTCGACGTCATCTCTTCGGCAGCATCAACGTAAATCAAGTAAAGAAGGAAAAATTAATTTGAGAGAATGACGCTTGGAGTTCTGAAAGAAAATGTAAAATGTGTGCACACTCCAAGCTAATAGAAAAAAAATGAGAAAAAGAACGTGAAGGAACACCACGCCCTACAGTAATTTATTCTTTCCCATAGCTACTTGTCTTCATGTCTCTCTCTCTCTCTAGCGTTCTTCCTTTTGTGCGCGAAAGCTTTTGTCAACGGAACGACGACAACGATAAAAAAAAAGATGATTGTCTTCAGTTCTCGTCTCCGCTGTTGTTGCATAAATAAAATACACATCACACTAAATCGATTATATCGCCTAAAAGACGCACACACACATACATAAAAACAAAACAAAACAAAATTTGCCAAACTAATGAATAGAATTGTGATAAATGACTTACAAACATGCAAACTGTTTAATTAACACCATATACCCTTACTTAACTAAATGGAAATGTTCGTCATCTAATGCCATCTTGTGTATTACACATATAACCTATTATAGACTCCTCCATTCATCATCATAAAACTTCGGAGAACAAAATCCAATCAAATAGACTTCCATAGTTTACCATCCAAGCGTTCCCCCTTATTTATTTTCTTCGTTGCTTTTACTTTTTTTTACATTTTGCTTATTGATTTGATATTCATGTTCAGAAATTTGCCGTTTTTTTAGATAAGTTTTTCGTCTCTAAAATAAAACCACAGAAACAACAATCATCATGAAAGCAAAAGGTAATCTCCGTGAGTATCGCATTATCGGCCGTAAACTTCCATCAGCTACATTGAAAACGCCACCACTCTATGAAATGCATATCTATGCACCTGATGAAGTTCAAGCGAAATCACGTTTCTGGTTCTTCTTACGTCAACTAAAACGTGTCAAGAAAAGTGCTGGTGAAATCGTGGAATGTAAATTAGTCAATGAACGTAAACCTTTAGTCGTGAAGAATTTCGGTATTTGGCTTCGTTACGATTCCCGTTCAGGTACACACAATATGTACCGTGAATATCGGGATTTAACACGTGCATTAGCTGTAACACAATGTTACCGAGATATGGGTGCCAAACACCGTGCCAGACCATCAACAATTCAAATCATGAAGATTAAACGTTTAGCCGCTAAAGATTGCCGTCGACCACATGTCACACAATTTCATGATTCGAAAATCAAGTATGTGACATGAAATGATCCTTCGTTTATTGACTTTTGTTTACTTTCTCGTCTAGATTTCCAATGGTTAACAAAGCAACAAAACGTTTACATCATCCACGTTTTACAACTCGTCGTCCTCACACATATTTTTAAAACAATCAATACAAAGAAATATAGTCTAAACATCTAATTGTTTTTTGTATTGCCTTGTTTTTGACCGAGTGTGGAAGAGAAAAAACAACAACTATCCGATGATCAACAAGAATAAAAATAAAGATTAACTTTTGTCATCAAGCAACTGCATAATAAATAAATACTTCAGATCTCAATCTAATGAAGAGTAAAGCAATGTACATCAGTGACACAAATTGAAGACAGATCATGAAATCTATTACTAGTTTTAGGTATTTCGAAGACCATTTGACATAGTAGTATCAATCTTGTTATTCTTCGTATTCAATAGGAAATAGCGGGCAGTAGAACAAAATATTTCAGACAAACAGAGCAAAATAGAAAGTCGTTTCAAGTCCTCTCGAGAATCATGTTCAGAATGCTTTTCTATCATATACCGATCAAATCTGCGCAATTCGTTCATTTTCAGCACTGTCCATTTTTTGTACATCAACGGAGTTGTTTATCATTCTTATCGATAGTTTCATCGTTCTTATGTACAACAAAACATGACAAATGAAAAACTTTCTTTCCTCCGTTTGCTATTTATTACTCAATGGCCAGGTCAGATCAATCGATTTTTCCATAAATTGTAGTCGAATGCAAAAGAAGCAACTGAACACATAGTTGTTGTTGATTATTTATGGTCAGTATATGCAAATTGAAACTGAAATCGCTCGGTCATTTGTTTCATCACATTCAACAATTAGTACACGAACGAGGTGTCTATCGTTGTGACAATTTTTATCATCACCATCTTTGTACAAATTTGATACGCTTCTCAACCGTCTTCCATTGACTCAAAATGAGACACTTGTCGTTGATGTGGATGTATCATCTCTTCAGCCATCTCGCTTTCCTTACCGACCAAATTTGATTACGTTACGATTATATGGTGTTCATAACTTGACAGATGCTTACAAGTTTTCTCGTTCACTTCAATGTCTTACATTACAAACAAACTGTTTATTTCGACCTGTGAGCATGAGTGAAGTTCACAATGAAACGTGTTTTCCACGAAGAAGAATAACTAAGGTAAAATCAGTTGTTTCTTTCTGTACTTTTACGCTGTCGATAGATAGCTGCACAAAAAGCTAGAAGAGTTCGATGAATCTTCTAGGGTTTAACTGCCATGTCATCTTTTTCATTGATATATTCATCTAAACAATTTCTTTTATCACTAGCGGGGCTTTGGTGGAACTGTGTTACACCCAACCGACAGATTGGCAACATACATAGAAGACGTTTTGCCGCGTTTACATGTGCTTCGATCACTCGATCTGGGACAATATGTAGAAATGTCTCTTCCACTGTGGCAGCCAACTACAATAAAATGTCCTCTCACCTATCTTCGTTTACCTCTGCTTGAAGAAACCTTCTAGTACACTGTCAGTATTACATGTGGCTATTCATAGCTTTCGTTTGTACTCGGATAATGTTTTATCAAAAAGATTGGTATCATCAAAGTTGATAAATCTACGTTCATTCAATTTAGTTTAGGCAATGTTTTCCTTTAATTTTTGAAGATTTCAAGAGAATGAACTGGGTGATGATTGAATATCTCACCGCTCCTGATATGATGTCTGTACTTCGACAGATGACATTGATTCTTTTCATTACAATCAATGGATTACATTGTGTCAACAAATCGGCGTTGTTCGCTGACAATCGTCAAGTTGATGCTCAATTTGCATTTGTTACGGAAGAAAACTGTCGTGCAATCGAACTGAGTGAAGAGATCCCAAACGGAAGCCGCTTCCGTCCACGAGAAACAGTTCGTGTCACATATACGATACGTTGGCTGAATCGAAAATACGAACACATGACGAATCTTGATTGCTATGTGAGTAACTATATGTTTACTTATTCTCAGTTGAACGATCTAATCTGATGATAACAGAGGAAACGAGAACGCGTTATCACATATTTGGATCTTCGCAATTTTCTTTGAGTGAATAATGATAATTATTACTTTTATTTGCTTTTAGTATAATTGTCATCAAGAAACTTTTCATGTGTGGTACACTTCACGATGGACATTTGGTGAAGTTTTCACATTAGATGATGCATTCGGATACATAACTAAAATAGAAACAATTGTTCCATTACGATACAATTCTACCACGATTTATCCACTTCAACTTCGTACACTTGCTATGTCATAAAATAACTCTTTACCACCGACTATGAGAATGCCCCATATTCATCACATTAGATTAACAAATAATCTTACTCTCTTGAAAAACTTCTCTTCATTCCCCTCTACTATTTGGTCAATTCAACTAATGTTTCATGCGGGTATACCAATCTTTGTTCGCAATGATTGATCTGTTCTACGATCATTTCCCTCTTTATCAGAACTCACCTAATTACAAATCGTTTTCCACGATATGAATATCCATCTTGATGAAAGTAGTTGTCAAATCATCGCTGAAACAGCAGCAATGCTTGCTCATTTTGACATTTGTTTTCGACGAAAAGGTTGGAGAACACTCAGATTTTGATGTCTTTAATCCACCTAATGTATTCGATGCTGATGATTAGAATTATCTCAATATAGATCCGAATCTCGTCGTTGGAGCATATGATAATCTTGGTCGTGGTGTGGAACGATTTCTCAAATCAATCGTCAGTAACTATCAAACAAATTCATCGTCGTATCTTAAACTTATCATTTCGTGTAAAAGCTGTTATTGTTGTTAAAGAAGGAAACTATGGATTGACTGTTTGGTTCTAATGTTGTGTAAGCAAATAAGTAGATAAGCAATAGATGAATGATACAAAAGCAGTTTTTCAGTGGATAGCTCATATAAGAACGTTCATGAATGTAGAAAAACAAGATTTGTTCATATTTCGTGAGAAATACCAAGGAACGAATAAATAAGAATTAACCAAGAAGTACAAATAGAATTTTTAAACGGGCTTAAAATGTGAAAATCTTTAACTGTTAAATAAAAGATATGTACATTTAATCTTCGTCGAAAATAAACGACATATGGCCAAGTGCCAATAGACAAATAAATTATTCAAATACGGTATGGTCTTCATTTTTTGTTTCTCATCGACATGGTTAGTGATTATAAACTTGAAATTAAAAAAAAAGGAGAACACAACAGATTGCAAGAATCTTCTGCATGAAGAAACGTGTAATGCAACGCAATGCATATCCGATTTGGCAATGTATTGAAAATGAATTTCTCTCATGAATTCGATTTTAGTTTAGAATATTTATCAATGAACATCACAGAAGAAAAAGTTGTAACAAAATACTAATTAGTTTTTATTCGAGTGAAAAAGAATCATATCGATTGCAAAACAATAATACAGAGTTAGACTGACATTGAAATAGAACAAAAGATATAATATCGTTATTTCAATATTCATTTTTTACATCATCAACAATCAATAAATACAGATAAGAATTAAAATCATTTGAAAGAACTTCTTGATTCCTGCAATTATCATTTTAATATTCTTAACAGATGCGAATATTGTCACCAGTATAACTAGCACGAGCAGTCTCTAATCGAATATTATTATTCAGAAGAATTTTGCATTATTTCCTAAAAAGATATTGATAGTATTTGTGTTGAGATCAGCAAAAACTATTCAACAGTAAAGAGTGTTGAAATACAGACACTTAAGCACACAAAAGTCATGGTATCTCATTTGAAATCTTCCTTTTTATTATTGATTCGGAACATTTGATATGTGAACGTTATCTTTCCGAAAAATTTCTCTGTATGTGAAGTGAAATTTCATTATTTATTCCTATATTTACATAATTTTCTTTTTCGAATGTAACAGTTTTCTAATTCGTTGAGTAATTTTTCGTTTTGTATTGAGTTCCATAATATTTGTAATGATGTGAATCAATGGAATATAAGAAACAACATTAAATGTCACACTTCTATCCATTTCTTGTTCGATTTCTTCTAATTGCTGTCGAACTTGTTTAACTTCATCTCGAATACGAAGTTCTTGTCTTTTCATTTCTTCAATTGTCAAAATATGATTTGTTTCAATTGTTAATAAAGTTTGCTGATGAACTTGTTCAAGTTGATTCGTCGATTCTTCGTAAGAGATTTGTAATTGTTGACAATGACGAATTTGTTTTTCATATAAATTTCTCAAAAACTCATTTTCAGTTTTCAATTCCTCGATTTCGGTTCGATATTCTCGGCAATGTTCTTCCATTTCTTGTGTTCGTCGAATAAGTCGATAGGCATCTTGAAGATTTTGACAATTGAAACGCGATTTGGGTTGGAACGAATGAAGAAATCGATCGATGATTTCTTTTGATAATTCTCGACGAGAATAATCAGTCGGTGAAACATCGAGAAACATCACTCGATTTTGAAATTTGTCTAAGATATAAGAATATTTATCATTGTCATGCAATTGTTTTAACAAAGATTTTCTTTCTTCACTTCCATCGATGTTGACTTGTTCGAGATTTGCTAATGAATAATCGGTTATAACTAAACACGAATTTTCGTATGCATCGATTGATAAAATTCGTTTATAAATATCGAGAAATAAGTTAAGATCAGTTGTGTTCATCGTTCCAAATCGAACGAAATAAAATAAAATATCAATTCCTGACGAAAGTGAGATGAAAAAATCGACTAATGACAAATGAGATACATCACCACCACGTGTATCACCAAATCCTGGTGTGTCGATGTAATTTCCCGAAGAATAACATTTAGATGTTGTACTCGAGATTCGATTACCAATTGGTTGACAAAGACCAGTCATTAAATTAAATGTACTTGTCTTGCCTGTATCTGTTCGACCAAGCAACACGATCAGTTTTTCGCGTTGACGTATTCTACAAGAAAAAGCATCAGGTCTAAACATAAGAAAATACACGAATTTCAGTACTAACGTGACATTTTCCGCATTATCAAAGCAGGGAGGCATGGATGAATATAGACTTTCATTCTATTCTCTCATGTATTTATACTTTTTTTTTTGTTCGTATGATCAGCTTTTTCATCGAAAAGAAGTTTATCGTTAGATGTCATCACATTGAATAGGTACGTGTGACAAATGAATGAGAGCATCACATGGATATTCATTTGATCGAGAAGATCATGTTTATTTAATTACAGACAAATACAAAAATGAGAAATATCAGCAAAAGATGAAACGGAGTGTGTTCATCGATTATGATGGCTAGTCGGTTGTTGATGAGTCGCTTTATGGGTTGCGAGTGTTCGAGATTGACAAAAGCCTTTGCCACAATCCAAACATTTGAATGGTTTTTCTAGAAGGAAAAGATTTGAGGTAAAAATTGAGTTCGATTGCGACCTTTTATTTTTATTTCATACCTTTTGAATGTGTATATCTAAAACACGAAGAAGATTTTACAGTGGAATTAAAAATGATGAAGAAAACTCACTTATGATCACGTAAATGATCTTGTCGTCGAAAGGATTTAAAACATAAATCACATGTATATGGTCGTTCATCTGTGTGAGTTCGTACGTGAATGAGTAAATTGTAAGATTTGGTAAAATGACGATTGCAGTACTGACATATATGTTCTTTGGCTCGTTTTTTCCTACAATTGATTATCTTTACAAAGAGTTTGATTCGTTCTACAACTTACCGTTTCATACCATGATGTTTGATTGAACTATCGGTTGGAAACGATCGTCGGTTTAATTTATTTAATGTATTTCGATTAGGAACTAATACTGGATGAAATGCAGAGCGAGTTGATGAATTTCTATTGAAATGAAAAATGATTGGTAGAAGAAGAAGTATTTGTTTTCTTCTAATTATCAAGAGAAAGTGAATGTATAGGCGTCAGTCATTTGCTCCTCATCTTATCTCGATAGTCTCAATTATCCGATAACCATCTTCTTCTGCATTCTAATGTAAGAATGACAACAACTCAACTAATCTTTGCCCCAGAAGTCCAAACAAATAAATAAACACTACATACGATGTCGAATTCGAGGCAAGTAAAGAAACACCACTTGTGATAGCAGCTGGTGATGGAGTTGATGAGACTGACAAATCATTTTTATGACTGCTAGTATTCAATGATGTTGAAGAATTTGAATTTTCTTCTTTGTCTCGAACAGCTTCATCGGCTAATTTAGCGAAATCGAAGCGTTTGGATGGAAGAATTGTCTGACGTTTTTGTGGTGATTCTAAAACGGAGAATAAGACGAGAATTCAAAGAAGGAAAAGATGAGTTACCATGAGAACTTGTCGATCGTTTGATCCCTCGATCAGTGATTTGATGATGTGCTGTTGCTGATTGATTTTGAAGAGCCAATAAATGAGGAAAATATAAGTGATAAAATGTTTGCGCTGCGATATTTGATGGCGAATGTTTACGTAAATCGAGTGGATGAAAATTTTGCGGAAGAGGAACGGATGGTGGAGGTGGATAGATGTTAATCAAAGTACGAATCTGAGTATTATTTAATGCAATGGCTGGCATCGATGGGCAAATCTTATTCGAATTCGAAATTAAGACAGGCGACATCGAATAGAATCGATCTAAAACAAATCGATCATTTTCTAACATTTAACCAGATATTCTTCATGCTTCTGAACTGATCATAAAACTTTCTGCGATGAATGTCTGCCATAAATAAAGGCACAATTAGAGCTCTCATCGCAAGTATCGTTGTCTTTTTTTTATAACTGGTCTGCTATTTATCTGAACTTGTTGATATCATATAGATGTGTATACAAACCTACCGAGTATGTTTTCCGTTAAGATCTACAGTTGGTTTCGTGAAAGAAGAAGAAAGAGAAAAGCGAGTGTTTTTATGCCATCGAGATATTGGAGATTGTAAGAAGTGCTGTTGAATGCTTGATAATGGTCTTTTCTCTCTCTCTCTCCTTCACTTTTTTTCTCTTCTCTGTGTTGATGTATGATGATGTATATGAGTAGTCGAGCTCGCTCCTGGTTTGTTCGAAAAAAAAGAAAAGACCAATCGGTAGAGCAGTAGCAACCAATGAGAATAATTCACCAATAAAAATTCTTTCGAAGAGAAAAAAAAGAATACGGAATAGATTGAGTGTGTGTCTATATACATATCGAATTAATGACAAGCAGCGGCAAGTGTCTCGCGTTTTTTCCCTTAAGTTTCAAACGTCTACGTGTGTGTGAAAGCTAATCTGAAAGTGATGATATTATTGATAACAGTAAGAGACCACTTTGGTGAAGTATTTACCAAAGTAGACGATTTGATTTTCAAAATAGTGCCAAGAAGAATTGAAACGATTTGCCATTTATGGATAATCTCAGCATGACAATTAGCATGTCTTGCTTTTGATCAAATGCGAGGATTCACACATCTTTTTCGATATTTCCAGTTTTATTTTCATATATTTATCTTATTAATCTCTCACGTACGTTTGCCGACATGAAGTCAATCATCCACGCGCACATATTTTACGTTTCCTTTAGATATAAGCACGTTTCATCGATGTAATCCTTGTATCTTCATCTCTTTGAAATGACAAATTAACTCGATTTTTATACAATCATAAAACACTTCCTAACTCTCTTTCTTTCTCTGTTACTACTGCTCGCTTGATGAAGCAATCTTTTCGACTATGTGTTTTATCACTGGAAGATGTTGATCACTTGACTGAAATGAGTGTGATAAAATTTCACACAAATTTATTTCATCTTTTGAAGATTTGTTCTCTTCATTGACTTATCCAATCATTTTAACAGCTTTTTAAAGACTAATCAATTCGAACGATACTCATACAATATTGATTTGACACATCACACGGATGAGATTTCTTTTTCTTGAGTGTAAACGAATAAAGAACGACAATGAACTTGCATAAGTGAGCAAATAACAAGTGCGAAAGATGAAAACACACCCACACCGTTTACATTTCAAATTAACATCATCTGCTTTAACACTCTAACTTGCACGAAACTCTCGTTCTTCTTGATAAAATTCTGCAATGAAGGAATTCATCGAATCAATATGCCATTAGATCAAAGTCCAATGACATACTTTCTCTACTCTCAGCGGTCTTTTGTATTGTTTAATTGAAACGTTTGTCCCGACTCGAGTTACATCGACTTTCAACACATTTTGTGGACAGTCTTCTTCGATTCTCTCATCATTATCGTGTTTGTGTTTTACAGAACATGTATAGATGAAACGGTATCGAATCGGTACACATGCTGGTAATTACAAACAAGTGAATATATCAAAACTGATCATGATTCTGATATGTTGGAACGAGGAAAAGAAGAGATCAAGTGATACATACGAATTCACACTGTTCACTTTTCGCATCTTTCGTATGTGTTTACGGACAATGATGATAATAAACAGAGAAGATCCATCATTTATTCAAAGGAATTTTTCACTCAACTACGATTGGATTGTTCCATAGTAGAAGGAAAGGGAAAATATAGTTGCTAATCAATTCTAATAGTACTTAGCATTTCATAGATCAAGTATCATTGATAATTATCATTAGTCAACGACCACTTTAACGCGTCGATTGGTAGTTTTCGATCAATTGTAAATTCAACTAAAGTGTCTTTTCAATGTTTATAAAACAAAATCTACTTGGCATATTCCGACTTGAGAGTGCAACTTTCTTGTAGAAAAAACTATAATAAATGGAGATGAAATCACTCTTTAATATTTTATATAAATCCAAAACTTGTCGCATTGTGACATCTATTGCACAAAAAGATGAGTTGGACATTCCCTTCGAAATTACTCATATTGCTTGTGCAATAAACTATCGTCGTTTTTGATATAAATACCATATCAATTGTCATTTTTCGTTTCTTATGATTGTGTAAGAAACCGGTCAAAACATTTATTTCACTTGCACATGTCGGTAACTGTTTTTTAGATTTCATTTCATGTTAAGTCAAAACTTGGACATGAATCTCAATGCTCTTTCATTCGCACTTGGTCAAATATCTTTGACAATCAAAAGATTATCAAAGGAAAACTTCACAAATTCCTACGCAGAAATATCGAATGTAAAAATTCTTGAGATTCCACTTTCCATACCTTCGCTTTCTCTACTTTATAGCTCGTTGATGAACACGGATTTGAAGCTGAACGACATTTATATCAAATATTAGTCAATTATCTCGATTTGCAATCTAATGACGAAACTGTTCAGATCAGCTATTGGCAACACGAAATTCCAACGTTGATCTCAAAACCAAATTTTACCATGTTGATTTGTTATGCATTTGATACAGCCATTACACAGAAGGTAAGCTGAGGTATTTGATGAACGGTCTGATTTCAGCCCTTCTTTTTTGTTTTGCTTGAAGTCGTTGAAGATTTTCGATGGATTCTTCACGGCTTTGTCGAATGTACTGAAATTGAATCAAGTGCAGGAATTGATTTTTACACTCGCTTTGCATAATTCAATGCATGATGAATTGACAACTTTAGCATGGGAACATCTTCGGAGATGTTTACCTGGTCTCCTTCGAACTACAATCGGCGGTAGGTGAAAGATCGAAGTGATTTATTTATATTTTACTTATTTGAAGATAATGGAATGAATGAAACGGGTGTAAACAATCTACCTATCGAAGTTCTTCACTCGTTGTTACTATTTTTGTCCAATGAATCAGTAAAATTATTGATTGAAGCCGAAGACTTGGAAAATTTTCTCGATAAACTTCGTACAGGTTGAGTGTGCTAAATAAGAACGAATTTTCTCACATACTCGAAATCTTTTAGAATATCCGAAAGAAAAAATAAGTCAAAATGGTTCTGTGATACTTTCCCCATTACTTTATCCATCGAATACATCATCAGTCAATCTTTCTCTTAATCAAATATTATCCGATTCCAGTAATCTCTCTAAATCAGTGGTAAGTCACGAAATAGGGTTGTTGTTGTTTTTTTCAAACAAATTGATTTGTGACCATAGTGGCAAATGGATGGATCTTTAGCGGATATGATACTTGAAATAGGTTACAGTTTTACCGCTTCCATTGAAGATTGTCGGAAAACTCTTGTACATTTTGGTGTGCAAGAAATTGAACCAATGACTGTTGCTCGAATCATTTCTGCAATGATAAAGACTCATTCTGGTCTGAGTAATGATACGTCTATCTTGGTAAATTTCTTAGTTTAAGAAAAACACTTTGATTTTATCGAAGATTTTTCTAGGATTCAAATGGCAATGATCTGATCGTAACTACAGAGGAGCAATCATTTCAAACATGGAATATTGACACATTTGTTCTTGTCATTAATGATTTGGTATGAAAGATTTCTATTTATTCAAAGTAAAACTCAACTTTTTAAAGATTCCCACAATGAATTGGAAACATGTGGTGAAAGAATTGGATCATACCGGCTTTTTCGTACGTGATCGACAAGGATTAATCCTTCTTATTGCAGCACTTCGACGGGTTATTCGAACAGAACTCTATATCAATTTACTCTACAGTCCATGGCAGAATCCTGAGGGACAAGTAGGAAATGATCCATCAAAGTAGATTTGGAGATCCCTATTTGACTATCTCTAGTTATCGTGGTTAGTCCAAGCGATCCGTCATCCGGATGTTTTTTGTTTCGGAGATTATCCTGTACATGTCGTCTCAAGTGATTGTCTGCAATACGCCATTGATGATACAAAAGAAACAAGAACTTGGTTCGATTAAACTTGAGATTTAATGAAAAATTTGAATGAAATGTTCTTTTTGTGAATTTAGGCGTTCGCTGAGTTTAATCGAATGTTTATTACAAATAGCCAATATGGGATTACACTCAGCTGTATTCGAGGTGTTTGAATATGGAATACAACGAGCCTGTGAATTGATTTTTCTTAGTTTCATTCAACTTCATGTAAGTGTATCAACTTGTCCTATCTTTATTTCTCAAACTGTTAATCGTAGACTCTCTGGACGAGATTAAAACAAGAATTACTACAACTAATTATTCCATTGTTATTTGTCAGAAGTCCCAATGCAAATGTTTTACTTAATTACATGTGGAATTTTCAGGTACGATGAACTTATTTCAACAGAAATCATTTTGTTCTTTTAAGTCTCAAACAGAACGATTACGTACAACATTATTAACATCCTTAGCTGATTGGTATACTCGTGCAAATGACAATGATCAACAGCAGCAACAACGACTAGGTCGTATTCTAGAAATAGTACAAGACTTGAAATGTTTACCGGTGTTGCTTGGAGCACAGCCGATATTCTTCGTATTAGATCTTGCTTGTTTGGCATCTCGACGTGGATATTTAAAACTGGATAAGTGGCTATTCGATAGACTATGTGTACACAGAGTACGAATGGAAAATAAACGAAATTCGATTAGAAAAGAAAAGAAATCTTCTTTATTCATTTAGGAATTTCTCATTGAAACCATCGTTCAATATCTACGTAGAAAAACTCCTCAGTTATTCGTTCCATTTTCTCCATCGAAAGTCGATTCTATTTTGAGATCTCCGATTAACATTGAAACAATTCAGACTCTCTTCACTGTGTTACAAAGTCATTTGTCTTCGATCGAAAACAGTGTTCTTAGTCAAGAAATTCAAACAATGTTATCAACAGCAAAATATTTCTCAAATGTAAATCTCAATGAACAAACCATTCCCCGGCTTGTACCAACCTCCTTATCACTCCAATCTGATTCGCCGATAAATTTATTCGGTGAACCTTCTTCATCAAGTCAAGCTCGATCAGTGCAAAGTAAGACATTCCAAACTGCCGCTTTTTCATATGGAAAAGATATCTAAGCGTGTGCTGCCACAGCCGCGTCAACATAGTCCATAGTAGAGGATGGCATGATGCATATGCACATCGCTAGTAGAGAAAAAGAACGAGAAAAACGAACGCGTACGTCATCGAACACAAAAACAAAAACGGCGGCCGAGACGGAGAAAAGTCACTTGTATGTATGTATGTATGTGTGTGTACGTCTGTATGTTAGTGAGAGCAATAGTAATAGCAGCAGCAGCAAAAGAACGGAAGAACGTAAAAGAGAGAAAGGGGTAGGAAAAAAAAGTTCGAGAAAGAAAAGAAAAAGAAAAGAGCGAGAAAAATAGAGATTTGTCGACACGTCCACTATTACAAGTCGTATTTTTGACAAAACAATAATAATAGACCATGCGACGATTACAGCAAAAGCAGTGTTGTCTGATCAGATTTATCGAGGGACTATGCACCTATTCGTCTATGGGTTAACTAAGAAAAAGAGAGAAAGAAAAACAAATTCAACACTATAGTTCGATTGTATTTACTAGAAAATGATGATGGATCCAAGTGAACATCTTCTCAGTGAGATAGAAATCTTTTCTTTATCTGACTATTTTCTTTGTTTTGTTTTCGAAATAAAGGTACGACTGGTAATGATCCATTAGGAATTGGCTCATCATCGTCAACAACTACACCGACTTCGTCAGCAACAATGGGTGAAATCGCTGATGTTGATGTTTATTTCAAACGTCTCTATTCTACGGGAGGCAACTCACCACCAATATCTGTCGATGAATTTCTTGATATCATGGCTCGATGTAAAGATTCTCAAATTCCACGAGAAAAAGTAAGATCTGTTTGTCGATGGATAAAATTGTTTTGGAAAAAACAAGGAAATTTGTTTTTAGGAAATTTTTCACAATGGCATTAAAAATTTGCTTGAAGAATATAAATTTTTTGCTCAATATCCCACCCGAGAATTAATTTTAACAGCACAATTATTTGGAGGCCTTTTAGAACGAAATTTATTTCAACAGCGAACACCAGACGCTTCTCAAGATATCTTAGACGGTTTGAAAGAACCAGTTACTTCGAATCTCTGGAAGTTCGCTGTTGTAGCATTGGACAGATGTAAAACAAGGTTTGTATACAAGTCAACTGAATAGTGCCGATCATAATCATTTCATTTTAGAGTTCGCGATCAACCTGCATTTGTTCGCGAATTACGAGCTTCACCAACTTACTTAGATATTCCAAGAAGTATTCGAGAATGTCTTGAGCACGGTACGAAACTAACCATGCCACAGCAATTTGATCCATTACGAACAATAACTCCCACATCAACCTTACCGCTTCCAACAACCGCTAGTCCTCAATCACAAGTATCTCATTTATCTATGACTCCGGCAAATATGTTTCCACGAATGAACAGTGCACCATCAATTACTAGTCAACAATATATACCTGGAAATAATATCGGTGGTGGCCTTGGAAGAGAAAATCCAGCACAAAAAGGAGTAAGAATTTCTTCATGAAAAAAATGTTCGATGATTAGCTTTTTGGTTCATTTAGCCTTCGTTATCACAAAATGCGAATATTCAAACGTTAACAAATGATCCCAGTTATCTCCTCGTTCGCGTCAAACCACCTCCGGAACATATCCATGATAAAGTTTCTTTTACATTCAATAATTTATCACTTGCCAACATATCTGAAAAGGTTAGAGAGATCATTTCGTTCGAGTAGATAGAAAGTTCTGGGTTTTAGGCGGATGACTTAAGAGAAGTCCTGAGTAACGATGAACAATTATGGAAATGGGTTGGTCAATATCTCGTAATGAAACGTGCTTCCATTGAACCGAATTTTCATACGTTATATGCTGGTTTTGTCAACACGATCAATATGACCGTTCTCTATGATACAGTATTAAGCGAAACTCATCGAAATATAAAAGTAAATATCGAACAACGCGAAGTACTCAAATCGATTAGCTGATTTTTTTTCAGATTCTTTTGCTTAGCCAGAAACAGATGAACAATATCCCCGACCGAGCGTTGTTGAAGAATCTCGGACATTGGTTGGGACTTCTCACTATCGGAAGAAATAAGCCAATTCTCGCGACGGTTCGAATCATTTCTATGCACATCATTTGACATTTTCTCCTCTGAACATTTTTCTTAGGATTTGGAAATCAAATCTCTTGTTATCGAAGCTTATCATATGGGTTCCCAAGAGCTACTATATATCATTCCATTTGTAGCGAAGATTTTAGAATCATGTGCTCGAAGCAAAGTAAAACAAAATTGATTGAAAATGAAATGCGTGATTTGATTTGGTTTAGATTTTTCAACAACCAAATCCATGGCTAATGGGAATTATGTCCGTGTTCGCTGAAATGCATTCTTCGGATAACTTTAAATTAAACCTAAAATTCGAAATCGAAGTTCTTTGTCGACAATTACAACTTCAACTAAGTGTAACTATTCGAATTCTCAAATTCCATTAATAAATCATTCTCTTCCATTTAGGATATTCCAATTCATAATATCTTATCCAATAAAGAATATTTTGACAAGATTGAAAAACAATTGTCATCTACAAGTCGCCCGGCAATTCCGTTTCAAACTCAACAATCTAATCCTTCGACGACATTAGCATCACTCTACAATGATCCAGCAATTCTCAATTATCATCCACTTTCGTCTAGTCAACAATCGTCTGCAACTTCAGCGATCATATCGATTCCTATTCAAGCACCGCCATCCTTATCTACAACATCACCAGGATCATCGTCATCATTGACACCTTCATCTCTTCCACCCGTACCGAAATATAAATTATCAGACTTTAAACCATCTATTTTTCAATCATTGAGTTCAATGCTCGAAATCAATCCAAATATTCCCCTCTTTCAACATCATCCACGTCTCAAGACCTACATTCATACTCCGATTGAACAAGCAATTAACGAAAGTCTTCTAACTGTTCAACGTTCGCTAAAAGTCGCCACCAGTGCTGCGGAGACCATTGTAAAAAAAGATTTTCTTTTAAATCCCGACGAACAACAGTTGCGTACATCTGCACGTAATATGGTTGCATATCTAAGCAGTGGCCTCGTTCTTATCACAGCACGTCCGGCTCTCCAAGATCAGATTCAACTATACATCAAAACTCATCTACAAACAGTTCTTGGCTTACCACCGGCACCTTCAGCAAATTCAACATCAACAAATGTGAATTCTAATACGAATGATTCAACTTCAGCTACGGTAACTAATGGCACAACAAATTCAACAAATGATCAAGTCTCCAATCAAGTACGTGAGATGATCCAACAAGCAGCAACGGAAATTGCAGCGTCAAATATCGAATTATGCTGTTGTCTGTTACAACGAACAACAATTCATCGCGCTATTCAATTGATCGATCAACGTTTAGCAAGTGATATCGAAATTCGACAACGTTGTCGCACAGAAGGACGACAATTACCATCCGCTGCAAGCATCGCCGAATTCCAGTCAGATAGATTAATAGAACCAATACGTTTACGCTATGGACCGTTGTCATCACATCAATTGGCAATTTACGAAGATTTTGTTCATTATATTCCAGGTTTTAAACCAAGTGATAATGAAAAACGAGATCTCGTTTCGATGGACGAAACAGGTCCTTCGGTCTGGGATCGTTTAATTGCTGAAATCGATCAAACCATTCAAATTCAACATAATCAAACATTCGTCAATCCTCTACAACACTTACTCGAAAGTGTCAACGTTCTTCGTACCAATCTACACAATCAGACATCGAGCAATGCACCGCAAGCTGCATTGGCCAATGTTTTAAATATTATCATCTACAATTTACTCGAACATTATACAGTTCAATCTCAAAGTCAAGATGGTGAAAATTTAGAGCGTTTTAAAAATGTTCATATGAGTGTTTTGAAATTACTCGTCGAAATTCGTTTACATATGTCAGTGATTACTAAGCAATTGACAAAGGCATGGTTGGAATGCCCGAATGATCTGAAATTCAATGTTTACGCTGTTAATCAATTGATTCGAAATCGTCTTTTGGATATTCGCCAAATGGATGGACATGTCGCACAATTAATCGATTCAGGAAACAATCCAGCGCTTCATTTCGCTGTCAGCTTTCTCCGAAATTCTGTCATTGAACAGCCATGTTGTATGGACACAGATATTGCGGCTATACTTGATTCACTTCATCGTATATCATTAATTGGGAAACAACCTGCGGAAGCTGTACGAGATCTATTAGAAATCATTCGATTGAATTACACTTCATTAACAGCAAATAATAATGCGAATTCCAATGAAACAAATGAGACAAGTACAACTTCGCCAGCGAAGACCGACAAACTGGCGATTATCTCACTGTCTGTTATCAGTAATGGTCATAAGTATTTAATGTCCACAGATGAAATGGAAACAGCAACAATCGCGAATAAGGCGAAGCATATCTTGAGCGGTTGGGTGAAATTAGCAATGACACAAACAAATCGACTTAGTCAACAACAAGCTTTTCAAGGCTTTTTTAATCAAGTAAAATCGAGAATTTCTCACAATAATTTCATTCTATTTGCTTAAAATTTAGATGAATATGCAAGGCTTATTCCGTTCTGATGATACTATCGCTAAATTCCTTCGCATGACAATTCAATTATGTGTTAATAGTGTTTATGATACTATCCGTCAAGCACCACCCATAACATCGAATTCGTCGTCATCTGCAGCTCAACAAGCACATTATGCACGATGTCACCAAGGAATCGACGCACTTTGCCGATTTTTATCTCTTTTAACAACTCATACATCGGATAATAACAGTTATGGTGCACGAATTCATTTAATCAACCGAATCTTAGGCATCTTGGCTGCACATTGTTATGCTGATCATGAAGAACAAGGCGACCAATTCCATCCGTTAGCCTATCAAAGAATAATTCTCAATTTATTCCAAGAATCCACTGCCACTCTTTCGTCATCATCCCTATTAAAGTAAAAACATTCTACTTACCTCATTCCTAATCATACATACTCTTTTCAATTTAGTGCAACATCAACAACGGAAGACTCATCAGCAAATGAACATGTTATGTACTATATTTACTTGGCATTCACCAATTGTTTGCATCTTCTACGTCCGCAACGTGTACCCGGTTTTGCATTTGCTTGGCTTGAAATCGTTGCCCATCGAACATTCATGTCCCGTTTACTTTTATCAGGTGGTCGTTTCACTCATCAAACTCATCATATGTACGCGTTGTTACTTGTTGATGCCTTACGTTTAGTCACACCATTTATACGATCGGGCGAACATCCAAAATCATTCCAAGTTTATTTCAAAGGCATTTTGAAGACCTTCATGTTATTATTACATGATTTTCCAGAATTTCTATGCGAACACTATTATCAATTTTGCGATGCCTTACCATTGATTGCTCATCAACTACGAAATATTGTTCTATCCGCATTTCCCAAACATATGCGTTGTCCCGATCCATTTTTGGTTAACTTTAAAGTTGATACACTTAATGACATCTCCATTCTTCCGGTGATTGCCTATAACTTCGCACAAAACATCCAACCACCTAAATTCAAACAAAACTTAGATTCATATTTACGTACACGTGCACCAGTGACATTTTTATCCGAACTACGTTCCTATTTACAGCAAGGTGCGGATCCTGGCTCTCATTACAACATTCGAATGTTAAATGCACTTGTTCTATACGTTGCTACACAAGCACTATCAACATTGAATAACAAAACCAATGGACAACCATTAATGTCGTCAATAACTCATTCCGCACATATGGATATTTTTCAAAATTTAGCAGTGGATTTGGATACCGAAGGACGTTATATATTTTTAAATGCGATGGCAAATCATCTGAGATATCCAAATATACATACACATTATTTTAGTTATACACTTTTATATTTATTTGCTGAAGCTAATTCAGAAGCTTTACAAGAACAAATTGTTCGGTAAGAAAATAAGCATTTGAATCACAAATAGAGACATATTCTGCTTTTTTTTAATCTAGGGTTTTACTTGAACGACTTGTGGCTAATCGTCCACATCCATGGGGCTTATTAATAACATTTCTCGAACTTGTCCGCAATCCAAACCTGAAACTTTGGTCGCGAGAATTTATGAGCATTTCACCAGATGTTAAACGGTTCGTCTCATCATTTTCTTCTTCTACCAGTGACAATTCGAACTGAATCGCTTTTCTAACTTTTTTTTTCATGTTTAATCTAACTAACCTGCTTTTTAGCTTATTGACAACACTCACACGTGGCTGTCCTCATATTCCTAACGCACCCGCAACTGGTCAACAACAACAAACGCAGCAACAAACAGCCATCGTTAAACCCTAATCGTTTCCGATGTTCTTTCCCATTTTGTTTATCTCTGTTCTTTTTCTTCTTCTTTTTTTTGTATAGAGTCGATGTTCATTTGCTTCAATGTCTATATATATATATATAAATATGTGTTTATGTTTATTTCTATCCTATCAACAGACAAACACAATATTCTGGTTGAATGCATTGTTCTTTCTCGATTATTTTCCGTTTATTTGTTTGTTTTTATATACCTATATTGTTCCTATTCAAGAGAAAATTTTCTTTTCAGTAGTAGTTCTTGGATATTATTATTATCACTCTAGAAAACCATCCAAAGACCTGGAAATATTTTGTCACTCTCTTCCGAGGGAGTTGTGCATGAAACATTGTGTCTCATTGTACTTTTTAATCGTCATTGCGTTTGATATTTTGGGTGATTTTTTTTCTTTCGTGTTATACGCATAGCGTTGTGAACAGATAGAGATTATATAACATGTTTTTTCTTCTTTATTAATTTCGATTAGCTCATCTCGAACCGCTCTGTGTATTTGACAAGAATTTAAAAAAAGCCACCATTGTTTATAACTCTCTTCAAGTTCTCTCTCGCTTTTCTTTTCGTTCTTTTTTTTTTGTTGTGTGTGTGATCTTCCTTCTTTTTTTTGAGATAAAACAGAAAACTGCAAAAAAGTTAAATGATTCTCATGATCTAAAAGCGATTGCAATGTCAAGCGACATCTACTGAACACAATCTGATGATTGGTTGTCGAAAAGGAGATTGCATTGAGTCATCAAAAGATTCGGAAAAGAGTGAATAGAATATACACCGGTTGTCGTGTGTTATTTGTTATTTCAGTTAGATACTCTGCAATTCATCTAGTATTTGTTCGATGTGAGTGTAAGTTGTTTGTTGATTATCACATGAACGAAATCTTCAATTGATTGAGTGCAAATGAAGAGTCATGATTCTTTCTAGGCGATTTCTTCGAACATCAAATCAATTAGGACATTTTGTTCGTTGTTATTCGATAAAATGGCCATCGTCTCGTGTGCGACAAACATTCATCGATTATTTCACTCAACATGCTTCAATTCCTCATACGATAGTTCCGTCGTCGTCAGTTATTCCACCGAAAGATTCAGGAACATATTTTGTCAACAGTGGAATGAATCAATTCAAAAGCATTTTTCTCTCTCAACAAAATCAGAATGTTCGCCAATGTGTGGTTAACCATCAGAAATGTATTCGAGTCGGCGGAAAACATAACGATCTGTCCGATGTCGGGCACGATACATATCATCATACGTTTTTTGAAATGTTAGGCAATTGGTCTTTTAATAATGCGTATTTTAAACGACAAGCATGTTCGATGGCTTATGACTTATTGACAAGAGTTTATGGCATTGATAAAAATCGATTATTTTTCACCTATTTTAAGGGGGAAGAAAATTTAGTTGATGCTGATGATGAAACAAGACAAATTTGGATTGAATTAGGAATTGACCCGAAAAGAGTTTTACCCTTTGGCATGAAAGAAAACTTCTGGGAAATGGCAGAAGTGGGACCATGTGGACCATGTACGGAAATACACTATGACCATACGGGTCAAGGAGATCCAACGCAAGTGAATAGAGATAATCCACAGGTTGTGGAAATATGGAATTTGGTTTTCATGCAATACGAACGACGACAAGATAAATGTAAGCTCTTTTCTTGCATGTAGCTTTTGCAAACGAATATCTTTTTTACTGCAGCTTTAATACCATTGACTAACGTCCATGTCGACACTGGTATGGGTCTTGAACGTCTTATTGCTGTTCTCAATCGCGTTGAATCGAACTATGACACTGATCTATTTACTCCATTGTTTCAAACCATTCATTCCTATTGCCCAAAATCATCATCAATTCTTCCCTATTCGCAAGCGAATTGCAATCAGCAATATGCTTATCGTTTATTAGCAGACCATGCGCGAATGTTCACCATCGCGATTGGTGATGGTGTGGTTCCTGAAAAGAAAGGCATCGGTGGTTTAGTGAAGAAAATGATTGAACGAGCGGCACGCATCGCACATGAATCTTTACATATCGACGAAGAAAACGTGGCTATTCTATCGAAATTGATACCCGTTGTCACAGATATTCTTTCTCCAGCATATCCAGATTTGAAGGAGAAAGTCAATCGCACTTCTGAACTTGTTCAATTGTGTGAATTAAACTACATGAAGAAGTACAAATTAGCAAAACCATTGCTGGAAAAGTTCATCAATGAAAAATTACAAAGTAAGATCGAGCGATTGTTAAACTTGCGAGTGAATATTTTGTTCTGTAGAATCGGATTATATGATCTCTGGTGAAGATATTCATCGATTATATGCTGGTCGATTCGAACAGACAAATGTTCCAATTGAAATGATCGAAGATTATACACGCTTGAATCCATTATTAAAACCCGATTGGAATCGATTTGAAGAACTAATGCGTGAAGAAACACGAAAGAGTAAATTATATTCTGTGTATAACAAAACTATTAAAGATAATCAAACGGTCTCTTCGCATCCAACTGATCAAATCTTGGATTTAATTAATCAATCTTCTGCAATCCAAGCAACAGTCGATGAACCTTATAAATATCAACCAGATCAGCCATTAAATGCACGAATTCAATTGATTATCAATGATAAACTACAGTCTGCTAAATCAGTTGATAAAAATTCGAAATATTACATACTTCTTGATCGAACACCGTTCTATTCAACCAGTGGTGGTCAAGCCTCCGATCACGGAACACTTCAATTTTCGAATAATCTCACTTTTCAAGTCGAGTAAGTTTCCTTTCTTCTATTTTCAATTTCATATTTATGAAATTTTCGATCGTAGAAACGTTTTTCGTCTGCACAAGCATGTTCTTCACTATGGTTCATTTCTTCAGACTGGAACTTTGACGGATACACATGTCGAATGTTTTATAAATCGAGATCGAAGACTGAATCTCAGTCGGAACCATACAGCAACACATTTAGTCAATAAAGTTTTACGAGACGTTTTGAACGATCGAAATTTGATGCAGAAAGCGTCGCTAATACATGAAGATTATTTCATTTTTGAATACTCATCGATCAATACTGATGCGACACAGCGTACCTTCGAAGAATTGGAAAATAAAGTAAGTGAATCTAACAAACCATTTAAACAATCATTCGATATATTTTGTTAAGATCAACGAAATGATTCATCTCGATCTTTCAATTTCGACAAATATGCTCGATTACAATTCCATTCATTCTGATTCGACAATTTCTCGCTTACCGAATGAAGTTTACCCACCGAATGTTCGTTGTGTTAACATTGATTCAACATATTCACGTGAATTATGTTGTGGCACGCATGTATCATCTACACGTGAAATTGAAGACTTTCTCATTGTTCGAATCGATTCGAAAGGTCAAAGTAACAAGCGTTTGTACTGTTTGACTGGTTCATTTGCGAAACACGTTCGAGATTCGTTTGAAAATGACTTTCAACAAAGATTCCATTATCTTGAACAAAACCGAGAGCGAATACCATTGGATTATTTATACAATGAATGTCGGAAATTACGCGAAACTTATTTGAGTGACAAATCTCTTGAATTTCCGTACAATCAACGTGCAAATTATTTGGATCGTTGGCATCGATTGACTCCGGAAAAGAAAACTTTAAGAAAGTATTTCGTCAATCAATTAAATGAAGATTTAACAAGGAATTTCATGCAATCCAATGCTGATTTACCTATTTATGATATTGGTTATATGCTTTTGCGTTACGACGATGAAACAAATAGTCGAAAACACCAACCTTATGTCATCTACGTGAATACGAATCAAAAGATGATGATTATTTACATGAAAAATCCTCGTCAACGTAGTCAATTGATTGAACATATGAAAAAGCGATATAAAATGAGCGTCATGACAAATTTCGATGATTACGATCAGCAAACTCGTGATTTATTCACTGCAACAAAGAAACTAGTTGTTTTTCAAGTGACTGAGAAAGATTTTGATCAGACAGATTTCGATCGAATGTCCGCTGAACTTTTTTCACATGTTTTTTAGATAAATTTCACAGGTAGTACTCGTCAAACGTGTATGGAAGTTGGTGAAACAATGGTAGAAATCATGCGAGGAACACCTGTATCAAATACAACAACAAATAATGCTGCAGCAGCATCGGGAGAAACACATGAAGGCATAAAACAATATTATATTCAGAAAATTGAGGAACTTCAAGTAAGAAAAACGGCGAATGATAAATAAGGTGTGAATCAAATTCGATTTTAGTTAAACGTTGCAGAGAAAAGTCAGAACTTACGACGTTTACAAGCGAAACGAAATGAATTGAATGCTAAAGGTAGATCTCAATTGAAAAAGAAATGTTTTCATCATGTGCGTTCCAGTTCGGATGTTACGTGAGGAATTACAACTCTTACAAGAACAAGGTTCACTCGTTGGCGAAGTTGTGAAAGCAATGGACAAGAAGAAAGTACTCGTGAAGGTAATTCTTCTTTTGACGATGTTTTTTTTTGCTAAAGATTAAAATAATCTGAATATTTTTAGGTTCATCCGGAAGGTAAATTTGTTGTTGATCTCGACAAGAACATTGACATGGCAAAAGTAACACCAAGTTGCCGTGTAGCTTTGAAAAATGATAGTTATACTTTACATAAAATTCTTCCAAATAAAGTAAGAATTTCTTGTGCAATATCAAACTTGTCTTGCATACCGATTTGTTCATTTAGGTTGATCCTCTCGTTAGTTTAATGATGGTAGAAAAAGTTCCTGATTCCACATATGAAATGGTTGGCGGTCTTGATAAACAAATCAAAGAGATCAAAGAAGTTATTGAATTACCTGTCAAACATCCCGAATTATTCGATGCTTTGGGTATCAGTCAGCCAAAAGTTCGTTATTTCTCGTCTCACATCCTGTCATTGAACTTTTGTGACTTTTCATTCAGGGTGTTCTGCTCTACGGTCCGCCAGGTACTGGTAAAACTCTGCTAGCTCGAGCTGTTGCTCATCATACTGAATGTACGTTCATTCGTGTGTCGGGTTCTGAGCTTGTACAGAAATTCATTGGTGAAGGTTCACGAATGGTTCGAGAACTTTTCGTTATGGCTCGGTAAGACTTCTATAGAAACGTTCGCCTCTCGGAAAGATCGGTTTTAGTGAACATGCACCATCGATTATTTTCATGGATGAAATCGATTCCATCGGTTCCACACGTGTTGAAGGTAGTTCAGGTGGTGATAGTGAAGTACAACGAACTATGCTTGAGTTACTCAATCAACTTGATGGTTTTGAACCGAAACAAAATATCAAGTAAAAGAAAAGAAGTGAATGATGGCTTTGAAGAGATTTTTGGTTAATTTAGAGTTATTATGGCAACAAATCGTATTGATATTCTCGATCCTGCACTTCTCCGACCTGGTCGAATTGATCGTAAGATCGAGTTTCCTGCTCCTAGCGAAGAAGCACGTTTAGATATTCTCAAAATTCATTCACGTAAAATGAATTTAACACGTGGAATCAATCTGAGAAAGATAGCCGAAATGATGCCTGGTGCATCAGGTGCTGAAGTGAAAGTAATTTCATCTCGAAATCTTTCAATGAATATCTTGAAGAATTCTGTAGGGTGTTTGCACGGAGGCTGGTATGTATGCTCTTCGAGAACGACGTGTCCATGTTACACAAGAAGATTTCGAATTGGCTGTTGCGAAGGTAAAGTTGGAGTTACTTAAAGTTATTTTTGTCGAATGAAAATTGTTTGTTTAGATCATGCAAAAGGATTCGGAGAAGAACGTTTCGTTGAAAAAGCTTTGGAAGTGATCAAATCATTCTTTTGTTCTTCACTTTTATCTTTAAATTTATTTGCTCTTGGACTTTTCTTTTCTATTTGTTATCATATTAAAAGCAAAAAAAAAACAAAATAAATCAAGATAAACATTCTTATTTCAAAGTTCATATTCTCTGTAATAGTCGAGCGATGATTTCAGATCGAACTATGGAATTACGCTTGGCACTAATTCGCTCACCGAATTATCCCGATACGATTAATGTTGATGAGGATCTTCAAGATTATTTCAGCGAACCGAGACGCATAAAATTAAACGATCAAATTACAATTCGTCCTCTGTTACAACCAGGTCGATATCGAAATAGATCAAATAGTTGCAGATAAAAATTCTTCGTTCCTTTCAGAATTAGAAGTGCATTTTCTTGTTTCATCTATGAAAAGTGAAGATGCTTTGATTTCCGTTGATAATTGTCGAATAATCATTGATACAAAAAACATCCGTCAAGAAAAACTCATTCCTACGTAAGAAAGATCATCACAGAAACTCAATCACCAAAATTCATTCTCTTTTCAGCTCATCGACGACAGACGAAACAATTGTATTCGCCAGTCAACGTCTATGTCAAATGTTAACAACATTTGATGTTCAGTGGTCGAAACAAACATCTATACCAACAATTCTTATCCACGGAATGAATCATTTCAATGCTTTAGTTGATTACGCCTGTCGACATTGTGGTTACCATTGTCATACAGTGATTATTGGAATAGTTTCTTTTTGAAATAATCATCGAAGTAGTTTAGGTATCTAGTCAGCTGTTTGCGGGTGATTCAGCCGCAGCGACAGTCAAACGAATTGAACAAGCGATTCAATCTGCATGTAAATCTACACCGTGTGTATTGTTTTTTAATAACGTAAGAATAAAGAAGACGTACTTGATTTGGATAAGTGATTTGGACATTTTAGGTGAATTATTTGTGTAAATTAACTGATGTTGAAAATGATGATGCGATTGTAACAAATGGAATTCGAAAATTGATTCAACAATTACAATCTACGTTGAATGAGAATGGACCATTGATTATTCTAGCAGCTGTTCAGAAGCTTCACCTACTAAGCGAACAAGTTTTGAGTTTATTCAGTTATACACTAGCCATTCCAGTAGTGTTTGCCTTCTTCTCTGTGTGTCGAAGTGAAATTTTCTTTGTTTTTAACAGGCAATTCCGATGGAAGTACGAAAGAATTGGCTTCGTACTCGACTATCGAATATCTCAGTTGCAGATGATTTCAATTATGAGCTTGTTTTAGCTCAAACGAAAGGTAAAATCTGATACACTCATATCAGAAACTTTTCTAGAAAATCATCATTTTAGGTTGGCCAATAAGTGAAGTCGATCAACTAATTCGTCTAACTATCGAAGCTGCTTATTGGCGATCACTTGAGTATATCCATTCATCCATTATTCTCTCCTTGTTTTCACGTTACACAATAGATCATCAACCAATTCAATCATGTTGACAAACACTGATTTTGAACAAGCATTGAAAAAGAGTCATACGTCGAAGCTATCTAGTCAACGAAAAGCCATGATACCCAATGTACGCTGGAGTGATATTGGTGGGTTGTCCACAGCGAAAAAAGAGATTTTGAATACGATTCAATTACCGTTACTTCATCCGGACTTATTTGGTGATTTAGCGAGGTAAATCAGTGGTTCAGTTAGATCTATAAAAATGATATGTTTTGCTAGAACTGGAATTCTTCTATATGGTCCACCAGGATCCGGTATGACTGATATTTGATTGTAAGAATGATCTCACCGTTGGGTTTTTAGGCAAAACTTTGTTAGCAAAGGCAGTTGCAACGGAATTTTCTTTAAATTTTTTATCTGTTCGTGGTCCGGAATTGTTAAATATGTACGTTGGTCAAAGCGAACAGAACGTTCGTGATCTATTTGAGCGTGCTCGTCTTGCTTCACCATGTATTCTGTTCTTTGATGAATTGGATTCACTTGCACCGCGCCGTGGTCGAACTTCGTCGGATTCATCTGGTGTGAGTGATCGTCTTGTTTCCCAATTACTCACAGAAATCGATCAACAACAAGCTGAACATCATATATTTATCATCGGAGCAACAAATCGACCTGATTTATTAGATGATGCATTGTTAAGACCAGGTCGTTTTGACAAATTGATTTACATTGGAATAACCAACGATCACAATGATCGAAAGCAGATGTTTCACGCATTAACACAAAAGTACGAGAGAAGGAGATTTAACAAGATTTCTATAAAAAAAGACAAAACCTTTTTTGTAGGTTTCAAATATATGACAAAGATTTTGATGTTGATGAGTTTGTCCGTTCGTGTCCATTGAATATGACTGGTGCTGATTTTTATGCCTTGGCGAGCGATGCTTATCTTCGTGCAATTCGGCGGTTGATTACAAATAGTCAAAATGAACAGGAAGATCAACAAGTGACTCTAATGAAAAGCGATTTTTATGATTGTTTAGCCGACTTCAGTCCATCACTAGATGAAAATGAAATTAAGCAGTATGAGCGATTACAAAAGTCTTGATTTAAGAAATGTTTAGTTTTGTTATTTATTTAAAAAAAAAATATATATATAAAACGACAGAAAAATTAATGGTCCCCATGACGGTACTGATAGTGTCATTAAACTTGATGAAATCTATAGCTGGTCTCGAGCAGCACTGTTATGGAAAACAACTTGTGACTATCGTGTTCCGACAATTGAACTTCTTACTGGTGAATTAGTTTGTCGATCTGATAGGAATACCACAACGTCTGAGTAAAATTTCGATTCAGATCACATTAACGTAAGCAAAGTGAAAAGTAGTGTATTATTGGAAAATTCTGAAAATATATCAAGAGAAGTCGATTTTTGCCGTTCGACTTCATGATTTGAAATCTACCGATGACGCCCTCTAGAAATCTCTGTTTGGATGAAAAGTAGTTGATATCTGTAATTGATTTCACTATTAAACTATTCATCGAGATAAATCGAGTTCATTAAGATTGTATCAAGTTTTTCTTTCTCCCTTCTCTAATTTGTCTTTATTCACTGAACGTTCTATATCTTTCGAGGTCGCTGATTAAAAAAAGCTAAATATGATATTTAATATCAGATAATTGATAACAAATCTGAATGAACTACGTAAGTGAAGAAATTGATGAATACGAAGGTTATTATTGAACTGAACTTTCTTCCGATTTCATCATATNAATCATCATTTACGTTCATTACCATCCATTGAAATCGATCCAACAAATTATGCCAATTCCGATCTCATTATTCATAAATTTGCCTCCTTCAAATCTTTTCGTTGTCTACTACAAACCGAATCGAAATATTTCTATCTCGACTCGTCATGTCAGTTACTCACTCGAACATCTCTCACTACAATATGTCCATTAAATTATACCTTGAAACTCGAAGTTGTCTCACCGCACAATACCACCATTTATCAACTGGCCGTTGAATTAAAGTATACCAAAGCATTTCATATCAATATAACGAATGATCAATCAACAGTAACATTACCGTTCTATTGCAATAACAAAAATCAGCATAATATTCATCGAAATCAAAAGGAGCTGTTTGTCGGCAATGCACATTTTCTCCTCAATAAACAATTTGTCGATCAGCAACAATGCCAATTCGAGAAAAATCCCTATCGAGTTCGCCTACGAGAAAATGAATTGTATAAAAATTTCCTCCAATTAAAACCGATTGTATCGTGTTCAGCGACGCCAAATTATCTGCTCGCGTCATCGAATTCCAAACGAAATTTCGAATACTTTCAAATCGATTCTTCCACCGGATATCTAAGTTTAATTCATTCCTTAGACTACGAGTCAACCACAACATGGAAACTAGTTATTCAAGGTCACGATCGATCACATATTCCATTTTACACCTATGTGATCATTGAAGTCGAAGATATTAATGATTGTTCACCGTTATTATCATGGAATTTTCCATTGCAAACAATCGATATTCTCAATGACACCGATTCATTCAATATTCACATCGGCGTACTCGAATCTAAAGTTGAACAAACGGATGTCATCATAGCAAATCTAATTGCGTCAGATTTAGATGCGTTACCCTATCATTTTGAACTCAAATTCAATTCTTCGCATTTATTACCATTTCAAATTTACGGTCCATTTGCTGATTCAACATTTGTACTATCCACAACAACGAAACTCGATCGGGAGTATCAAGATCAATATATTCTACATCTAATTTTGTCTGATAATGGTCAACCGAATTTGTCGTCATTCTATCAATTGACGATTTCAATCTTGGATGATAATGATAATGCGCCGAGATTCGATAAACCGATTTATTATGTTGATATTCAAGAAAATAATCTAGTTAATACGATTTTACTGCAAGTGCATGCAAATGATTCAGATAAAGATGATAATGGTCGAGTAACTTATGAATTGGATGATTATTTTAATAATTTTATTACAATTGATAATCAAACAGGAATTATTCGAACAAAAATCCAATTTGATTATGAACAAATGACTAATTTCACATTCAATGTCACTGCTGTCGATCATCCCAAGACCGGACAACGATTAAAAACCACTGCGATTGTGTTTGTCAATATCATCGATCAAAACGATAATTTTCCAAAAGTAAGTTCATGCAGAACTCGTCAGAACAATGAGAATCGTGCTTTTTTTTTTAAATAGTTTCCCCAATCCACTTACGAATTCTCCATGTATGAAAACAATTCTCCTAATAGTTACATTGGTCAAGTAACTGCTTACGATGCTGATCATTCTCCGTTAATCTATTCTCTCGACAATCCTTCCCCTCAAATTTCATCCCTCTTCCAAATTTCTCCTTCCGATGGCAAAATCTATGCACTTAATCCTCTTGATCGTGAACAATTTAATCAGTACATCTTTTATGTAATCGCATCCGATGGTCAGCACAAATCCTCCCGGGTTAAAATTCATATTAATATTCTTGACTTAAATGATGAAATTCCTCGATTTACATTTCCTAATGATAATAACGATACATTGATTATCGATCGAACTTATTGGCGAACTGAAGATTCCATTTGTCAAATAGATATTCAAGATCATGATCAGATTCCCAATCATACTCTCATGCTTGTGAATAGTCTTAGTCAATTGAAAAACTATGATTATCTGTCCGAACAGAAACCATCGCTTCAATTCGATTCATCAAAGTTCTATCTTGATAAATACGGCAAACTTTATTTCAACTCGACAAATTCAACGACATTGAACGAAGGAGTGTATTACTTAGCCTTCAGAGTAAAAATGCTTTTGATAAACTTTATTCGATCTCGAATTTTTTGTTTGTTTAGATCATTGATGGAGATAATTTTTTCGATGAGAAATTATTAAAACTAATTGTTGTTAACAATTACGAACGTGTTCAAACAATAGTTAAACTCTACGATCATCTGGGTTCACATATCAACAATCGCTTTTCGTATCTACAATATCGTTCGTCATCGCATCATCAACCATCACAACCACCAAATCATCACTCGTATCGTTCACGTCATCCATCATCTTTGGAAGAATCCAATCGATTTCTTGTTTTCATTGTTATTACCGTTCTAAGCATTATTCTCATTGGTATTACATTTCTATTCATTTCCTTGATCAGAAGAAAAGCATTGCAACAGAAGGAATTGTTGAAAAAGCAAGATTCAATATCAACATCGTCAGCGTTGCAACAACAATCGGATAGTTCGACGATGAATTTATTTAAATCACCCACCCTCAATCCTCATGATAAACGGCAAAGTTTACGTGTTAGCAATTGTTATGAATACAACGATCTGTCCTCATCACCATCGTTACTCATGTTGAACAAAGATTCGATCTTACCATCATCCGTTCTCAATGATAATTGTTGTTTATTAGAAAAATTAAATGAAAAAGAAATTTATGACGAACAAAGAAGCAAAGTAAAACTTTATTTCGAAGAAAAGATTTGCCATGAAAGACTTTCTTTCTTTTAGACTTATTCTTCATGGGTATTATCAACGACAACTCGTCCGGAGTCTCGTTATTCTCAACGTAGTGCTGATTCATCCACTTTTCATTCGTTAAATCGTCTCTCAATTCCGTCACAAATCCACTCAACAACAAGTCTCTCTCAACAACTATGCTCACCTAAACGACATTCGACTATTACCTACGAATCCACTGCAACAACAATCACCACAAACTCAACGACTCAACCGGCATCCACACCGACTGATTACAGCGTAGCAACTGTTTCATCTTCGTCAACAAATAACTCTCCGCACACACCTGTTAGCTCCGATGATGGCTTCTGTGGTTCATCTGATATCTCTGATCCACCAATGCCCGTCGGAAGTATGAATTTATTAACATCTCATGCACATCAAACCTTCCGTCAACCGTACACAATGATGAAAGAAGGTATTATCCAAAAAAGTTCGCATTCACCATCATTTTCAGCATTAATCAATCGTTTAAATGACGTGTCAACGCCAACAAATAGTACGGATACGACGCGACGTGTTCGATTCAATCTTGAATCGGAAGATAAACATCAGCAAAGGACTATTCTACCATTACCAACATCGAATTCACCAGGTCGACTAGCAGATCATGCGTTAAGACGATTTGAACAATTGTACATGAATCGAGATCATGTTTTAGATAAACAATCTTTAGATTCGACAATCTTATTTTCAAATTCGACAGTCGTCTAGTCGTTTGATTCTGCAGTATTTTCGTTTCAAGCGCTTTTTTTAATTATATATATATATAAATCTATGTTTGTGCATAAACGCCGTCTGCTGCCTGTTCTTCCTATTTTTGTCTTTTCTAGTGGAATGCTCAGATGTTGTGCATCTCAGTTTTTTTTGTCTTTTTTTTTATTTCGATTTAAATAATAAGAGAAAAAAGAGACCGGAACACTTCTCGTCACTCAAATGAACCTACCCTTGAATCAATATGCTTTCGGCGTTGTTATTCGTAGTTGAAGGTAAGTCTCTCTGTCAATATTCAATGTCTTACCATTCGGAAGACAAATGACAGTAGTCATTTATCACTACTTTGTTAACTAACCTTCGTTCAAGGTTTTCCGTGAAAATCTGTTCCCAGTGATTTACTTGCATAGCACTTAGTTTTTCTTAAACATGAAAGCTTTTTTTTTAAAGATAAGAAGCCATTGCTATTTCTTCTCGTCCCCACGTGTATCTGTTTATACTTGTCATACTTGCTTATCTCACTTCTATTTCTGTTCTTCGAAACATAGCCTTTGTATTTGAAAAACAAGACGCGAAAGTATGATTAAAGCAATTCTCGTTTTTAATACGCGTGGTCAAGCGAGAATATTGAGATTTTTCGATTCCTGTACGACGGAATTACAGCAAAAATTACTTCGTGAAGCGTTTCAAATCGTCTCCAAGCGTGATTTGGATTCGTGTAACTTCGTCGAATACAATGAGAACAAATTAATCTATCGTCATTATGCAACGCTTTATTTCGTATTCGCTGTTGATTCAACTGAATCAGAATACGATATTTTCGAAATGATTCATATGTTTGTGCAATGTTTAGATCAGAATTTCGAAAATGTCTGTGAATTGGATTTGATATTTCATTCCGAAAGAGTGAATCATATCTTAAATGAACTTTTCATGGGTGGGTTCGTGGTAGAACGCAGTCCGGATGTAGTTTTAAATGATATTCGTACGCAATTACGTTTAGAACGACAAGAATCCGGGGTTCTAACACAAATGGGATCAAAAATTAAATCGGTGGTGGATACAAAGACTGAAAAATTCAAAGCCGACGTCGAAAAACGATACGATGTAAAGTTATAAAACAAGTTTTTCGTTCATTTTTTTGTCTTTTTTCGTTTCCGAATTAGTAAATTTAATGATTAATAGAAGATAAATGATTGGAACAAGAATCATTGTGAAAACTAAGATCAAACTTAGTGTTAATAGAATGTAATAAGTTTGACGGTTAGGTCTCGACCAAAACACAGTACTAATGTCACGTTCATCATAGAAACATGGATAACTTTCACCAATCTATCATAAAAATCTTTTTACAGCAAAGACAAAAGGATTCAACTTACGAAAATCGCGGGATGAGATTTGTCTTTCGGCGATCGAGAGATCACACCTAAATGAACATTCATTCCTTCTTCATCATCGTCATGTTGATCATCTTCATCGTCTTCATGTTCAATTGTGACGTTATATCGAACGACATAATCACGTTTACATTCACATTCAGCTCGCACAGTGCAGTTCGATGGTAGAATACAACTTTCGATGATACAACGTGTTTCAATTAATTGATTGTAATCAATAAAGCGATTCTTTTGACAACTGGTTGTTAAGCATTCGACCGAAACTATTTGAAGAAGAATGATGAGAATAGAAGATTTCAAGGACATTTCTTTTTTCAAATGAAATTCTTTCGTCGCTTTGTTTTCTTTTTAGTGTTTGTTATCAGCGAATGTGACTAAACGAAATGGACACCATGTGCGTTTACGAAAAATGAATTTTCTAACGGTCAGAATGTCTGTTAGTATAAATAAACTGATCTCGTCTCATTTGAATTTTATGAATATCTCACGTTTTTGGTCGACTGCAATCAAATCGCAATGGATACGAATTCCTCCTTAAGTGACGATTTACGTTTATCTACGGATTCAAGTGAAGAACGAGACTCTAATAATAATATCATTGACAAACCCGCGCAAAATAAAAGCAAGTCAACAAATGGACGACGGACAAGTCGCTCACAACAATCTGTTAGCTTTGTTTCACAAGCGATGAAATATTAATAATTAGCATATATTTAGGGTTTATTATTTCCTGTTAGCCGTGTTGAAAATCGTTTGCGTGAAGGACGTTATGCATCTCGCATAAGTCCTCAGGCAGCAATTCACTTAGCTGGCGTCTTAGAGTATCTAGTAAGTAAATTTTGATCGGAATGAATTCATGTACTTTGATATGATGTGAGTGTTTCTTTTTCAGGTTGCTGAAACACTCGAATTAGCCGGTGATATGTGTCGTCAAAGCAAACGAAAACGAATTATTCCCCGTGATATTGCTCTAGCGATTAAAAATGACGATGAACTTGTGAGATTTGATACTGTCTTTCATTTTTCTCTTCATGGCTTTTCCTAGGCAAAATTGTGTGAAGAAGTGACTATTCCACAAGGTGGTGTGCAACCGTTTATTCACGAGGTTTGTGTTTGGTGAATCTTTTCTTGTTACACATCGTTTATTTAGGTTTTACTCAAGAAAAATCGACGCCGTCGTACTCGTCATGTTCGATTCGATGAATCTTCTATATTAAGTTCACAGAAATCAACGCCATCGGATAATTATGCTAATGACAGTGATCTACAGATGGAATAAATGAACATTTTGCGGGAAACCTGATTATGCAAGAGTCGTTTTTGATATTTCGATGTACATATACTGTTTTCGATTTTATTTTATACCTATTTTAATGCCGAATAAACGAGAATACTCATCTTTACCAGACAAATCCCAAAGATGTACTGCCAATTACTACCATCGTGCATGATGAAATGTTCTTTTGGCTGGAAAAGTAATCTTTTATTTACTCTTTTAATTCATTATCCTAGACATAAATTCCATCGCATGACTCATTCTGAAAACGATATGCGAAAGGTTCAGACTCGTATTGCAGTCAAAAAGCTATTTCCATTCATAACAAACAATTAATCATCAGATAGGTATCAAAGTTATGTTATTTACGTTTATTTTTCCATTAAAAACTTTTAAACTTTTTTAACCGAAGATATTTGTGATGGATTGACTGAGGACTGGTAAGATGCTGTTTAAATGATTGAGTACATTTGCAGCGAGATCATCGAAGTTAATGCGACCTTGGTAACCAGGGAAGAAACTTTGAAGGAGCTTGCGAAGGCTAGCCAAAACTTTGTTTTTGTTTGTATTTTTGATAAGTTGGACAATTTGAGCGAGTTTGTCAGTTGGCAATTGTGCTATTAATTGTTCATAGTCCATCTTAGCATCCCGTTTCCCAAAAAGACTGAGGGCACCCATGAGAATGCTTGGAAGAGCATTGGCGAGACCATTAAGAGCAGATTGACCAAGTTCTTCCCAACTAAAATGATGTATCAGGCATGACATATAACTCACATCTATCATCAAACTCACTCAATACGCATTTGACGGAGTTGTGGAACGAATTGGGTCACGATTTGTTGAATAGCTTGACCGAGTGTAGCTGGATTCCAATGGTTACCAGCAGCAGCGACAACGGTGGCAAAGAATTGGTTTTGCAATTGTTGAAGTTTGTCTGAGCTCAAGAATTGGGTAACTTGTGGGATGAATTGTTGTAATTGGAGTTTGTCAGCTAAGG